AAAGCATTTGACCGTGTTTGGCACGAAGGACTCCTCCACAAACTACCATCATACGGCTTACCACCTCAGCTATGCCATCTCTTATCAAGTTTTCTTTCAGGCAGATCACTTCATGTGGTGGTGGACGGTGTATCGTCTGATACCATTGGCATCAATTCTGGCGTTCCACAAGGATCAATTTTGGCACCAACATTATTCCTTCTTCATATCAATGATCTGTTGGGAGTAACAACTTGCCCCATCCACAGCTTTGCAGATGATAGTACCCTCCATACTGCGTTCTCTTCCAGAATTCCCATTTCTTCCCAGGAAACTAAGAACTCACGGCGCAGGCAGGTCAATGCTGTCAATGAAGACCTTGCTAAAATCACAGCCTGGGGAACCAACAACCTAGTTGAATTCAACGCCACCAAAACTCAAGCCTGTATTTTCTCTAGAAAGGCGGAACTCAGTATGCCCGACATTGTAATGTCTGGCACCACCATCTCCACCAAGCCCACCATATCTATGCTCGGTATTTCCATCAGCAACACTCTTTCATGGGATAATCATGTCAGATCCATCGCGAAAGCTGCTTCACAAAAACTCGGATTCTTGTTCCGTGCGAAAAGCTACTTCACACCTCAACAGCTTCTCATGATCTACAAAGCGCAAATACGGCCTGTTCTAGAATACTGTTCTCACATATGGGGTTCAGCACCAAAACATACGCTGATGCTCTTAGATTCCATACAGAGAAGAGCCATCCGCCTGGTGGGTGACGCCACACTCACTCACTCTTTGACATCATTGGAACACCGTAGAAAGGTCGGCGACCTTTCACTTTTCTATCGATACTTCCACGGGAAATGTGCTTCGGAAATCTCTGCTATCATCCCTCCACTAGCAATACCAGTCAGACGAACTAGACAAGCCCAGTCAGCACATCCTTTCGTTGTCAACCTCGAAAGATGTCGAACAGCACTTTATCAAAACTCCTTCATCCATAGAACGGCTAGGCTCTGGAATTCATTGCCTGAGGAAGTATTCCCAACAACATATAACCTACAGAAGTTCAAAAAAAATTCCAATACCTACCTCCTATCCCTATCCTCCCTAGGAACGCACGATGTTCTTTGAACATTATAGGGATTCCCTTTCGTGCGCTCCAAGCGATAAAAAAAAAAAAAAAAAAAAAAAAAAAAGTATTAGTTGAATTTGAAAGAAAGCTCGAATGAAAATAACATTCTACGGCTTCGTGCGTTCTTCCAATAAATATTGCTTCAATTTTCAACGACTTTGTATCCAAAACTTTACAATAGCACTTAATTGGACGGACGCACTGTATACAAACTTTGTGTGTAATATACAGTGTGGTCATTTTAAGTGTCGTGCAACATATGGGAATCTTTTTAATAAATTGCACAACCAAAAGACAGGTAGAGCGAAAGTTGGTGCATGTTCGGTTATCATTCTAGGTCTACTTAGAATGGTTGCAGGTCAAACAGCATACAGGGTAGGTCAAAAAATATTAAAATTTCTCGAGAGTAAATGGTACCCTTATCCCTGGAAATTCAGTCAAATGTTATTGAGAAAAGTTGTTAACAATTGTTGTTCTAAAATTGTTGTTCTAAAATTGTTCTATCCGTCATTCGGTTGCCCCCTTACGAGCAACCCTCAGAAGTCTTCGAAAGACTTGTGCGAGCAAGGAATGACGGGGGCCTTACCTTTTAACGTGTGATCCCAAACACTTCCTTAGGCCATCAGAAAAAGTCTGCGTTCGTGGGTCTCGAACCCACGATCGATACCTCGACGTGAATCGATATTGAAGCATCGAAGAACTGAGGTACGCCGGCCTGACAATTGAAAGTTATGGCTAAATACCAAAGGATGGCCTCCTAAAACATTTTTCAGTTTCTCAATTCTTTTCGTTAACGATTTCCCAATTTGTATTTTTTTTTCATGTTCACATCAAATACTTTCATTAGTTAATCATAACAACATCAGTTGAGAATAGCTTTGTTCAAATTCAAGAATATTTGTGCAATCAACTCGGATTTAAACTTTTTTTTTAGGAATCACAAACTTTATGTTTGTTGCAACTATATTCACCTTAACTTTAAAATTTCGCAAACCATATTTTTAACAATGTTAAACATCATTAGATAAGAAGATAATGTCACCAAAATGTCTTAATATATGTTTACTGTCAACGCTCATTTGCTTTGTTCCTTATTGATGGGTACTTCGTGACTATTTCAAATGATATAATAATAATAATAATAATAGGATATTATTGTCTACACATGTTGCATTTTACATTTTACAATTCAGATATGGAGTTTGAAGACAAAAGGCAGAGTTCGGTACTGACGGTAAGATGAGTTACCGAGAGGACGCGCTCTTCCACTCAACCTATATATCATATATGGTTATCGATTGATTTGTACAGCTTTTTCATAAACATTTCAAATACAAAATGTTCACATTAAATGACAGTTTTCGAATTTGCAAATTATCATTAATGACGTTTTACCTTGTTAAAAATATGGTTTGCGAAATTTTAAAGTTAAGCTAAATATAGTTGCAACAAACATAAAGTTTGTGATTCCCTAAAAAAAGTAAATCCAAGCTAATTGCACAAATATGCTTGAATTTGAACAAAGGTATGATCAACTGATTTTGTTATGATTAACTTATGGAAGTGTTCAGGGTGAATATAAAAAAAAAACAAATTGGCCGGGATATTATTAACGAAAGAAATTTGAAAACTCAAATTTGTCTTAGGAGGCCATGTTTTGGTATTCTGGCATAACTTCCAATTGCAAACAACTTTTTTCATTAACATTTTGCTGAATTTTCTAAAATAATTGTACTTTACTCTTGAACAATTTTCATATTCTTTGACCTACCTTGTAGGTATGCTTTTTGACTCGCAACCATTTTAAGTGCACCTAAAATGATCACTGAACATGCACCAATTTTTGGCACTATCTGTATTTTGGTTGTGCAATTCATTCAAAAGATTCCCGTATGTTGCACACTTAAATGATCACACTGTACATATTTTTGAATTCAGCTGTCCATGGGGATTCCAAAAACCGAATAATTTATAGGGTGTCTCATTTGAAAAAATTGTCGCGGACGTCATAACTCAAACGTGAAACACTCTGTAAATTGAATCTTCTTTTATAAATTAAGGAAATTTAAAATAAAATTCCTCCTCAGAAATGAATAGTATGGCTATAATTCACTATTCTTTAAGAGAGCACTATCAATTTAACGGACACTCCGTATATATATACACACCCTATTTCTAATATATCTTTGAATTCAGAGACTTTCATGGAGATTTCAAGAATTGAATGATATATAGGGTGTTCTCTTTGAAAAAATTGCCGCGGTCGTCTTAACTCAAACGTGGATCACCCTGTGAATCTGATTTCAACTTATAAACGTGGAAAATTAAAAATGAAGATCGACCTGTTTGAGGAGAGTTTCCAGAGATGGATAGTTTGGCTATAAAGATGAATTTATTCAGTACTATCCATATTTGGGGATGATGCAATTTTTTTCAATGATTCAATGATTCATGATTCATTTCATGATTAACAATTGAATGAATAGTTATATCTCATCGAGTATACTTCAATGCCAATGAATTGTTTTCTGATGAGTCCCACCGAAAGTGTACCAATAACAGATTTAGATTCAGAGCACAAATCATCAACGTTAAAAATAGGGCAACATCTTTAGGTATTATATTTTTGTGTTGGACTAATTTTAACTTGGAACGCTTGTGTATTTGACCGACAAAACTGAAACTATGCATAGAGCATATACCCATGCCAAGGACCGGGAATTTTTCGATCTCAATTCACAGAGACATTTGGGACATATATTTCAACATTTTCAGTCTCTTCCATTGTTGCAACATCCTGAACAAAAAAATGAATGTGTTGCTATCAACGGGACGATGAAAAAAAATCAAAGTTTCCGAATATAATAATATATAATAAATAGTATGAATGCCTCCATCTCAAAGAGCTATAGGGCACATATTTTATTGTATACACCGGGTGTCAACTAATCTTCTATATAAGTATATCAAAATTTCTAGAATATTAGGTGGATCAAAATGAGATCTGGTATATATAGATAAAGAGGAGAGATTTTCCATATTTTCCACTTTCTGGTCACTTCTGATTTCATTATATGGAAATGTGTCCTGTCTAATTTTGAAAATCTGAGACAATTCTGCATCAGAATGTGACATTTTGGAAAGTTTTTACGACTCACTTTTATCATTGCGCATCTAGGTGGCCATGCAGATGATCAGACGTAATCTGATTAATAGGGACCTCTAGAGCTCAGAAAATCACAATCGGAAAGTTCTAGTAAATATATATAGTATGATATGGACAGGATAATATGTTGAACAACCCTTTACCTTACCCAAACTCGTTTGTCTATAGAACGGCAAAGCTTTGAAAGTGTTTGCCCATGTATAAGTAATCCCAAGAACTCATATAAGCTCCAAAAGATAAAAGAAAATCCAATATACCTACCTATACCTTCTCTCCCTATCCTATGGAACAATTCTAGGATTAATAGGTATACGTATTCCTTCTTCTGAAAGTTGCACAATTTGAGATAAAACATGATTTCTTTTCTCATAATGAGAATATAAAATGTAAAATGCTGTATTAATTGTCTCTTCAAACGTTTGCGAAAGACGAGAGCCTAAATTTCTCAAGAAGTATTCCCTTCACAAGATATATCTGTTGATCAGTGAATTACTATCGGCCATATTCAATGATTACTATAAGTACTCATTTACCGCCAGCAGGACAGAATGAAGCTGACACTCATGTTACGGTCCTGGCACGAAACGCACGTTAAATTTTTCAATTTATGTTGCACTGTTGGTATCGCTTGGTAAGTTGGTAGTCCTGCATTGCAATTATGTATTCTGTCAAAAGTCAAAAGTGTCAACTCAAGCATTACATTGATGACATTGAGTTGTCAACTTGTAATAAAAGAAAAACAATCATCATAATACAAACCATAACCTTCGACAATGGAGAAAAGATGTTAATAATGTTAATTAAAACTGATATAGTATTCGCTTTTTAGCATTATGATTATATAGAATGGAAGGCGACAATGAACGATCCTCGTTTTGGAAGAAAAATGTCAAGCCTGTGGCAGGAAGGTAGATACAATGAAATATCAAAAATCTATTCATGTTCCTCAAAAAATGTACTATAAACCTATTATAGGCCAAGCCCACGAAGAGAAGGTAATAACGTGAAAAAAGCACCTGGATCTACCTCATTTCAAGATTTCCAGGCATCAGTAAGTGATGCTTGGGATATGGAGGATGATGAGTTTTGCATAATATCAGGACTCGAAAGTAATTACTTTGATTCCCTGTCTTTTATATCTTGAATAGAAGTATGTGTTATTTTCAGATACAAAGATATCAAAGAAGGTGGCACAGTCAGCAGCTTTGAATGTCTTGAACACTCACCGCATTGCTTCTGAATCTGAAGCATCCTCTGAGAAGAGGAATGTGAAGAAATCAAACCAAGTTGATCCAGAATCTATGAAATTTAGTCGAATACCAGGTAGACCTAAGCAAATACGCATCTATAATACTGAACAGGAAGGAATAGAAATTAAGTTGGAGAGATTCCAGACTTTGTTAGGACATTCTACCACTTTGCAAGATTTATGTGAACTGAGTTGGTCAGGAATACCTCACAAAGTTAGAGGCATCACTTGGAGGTTACTATCTGGATTTCTACCTGTGAATATAGATAGAAGATGTGAAGTACTGGAAAGGAAGAGATGTGATTATTGGACTTTAGTTGAAAAATATTATTACACTGAGCATGATGAATCAAGCCGTGATATTCAACACCAAATCAATATAGATGTGCCAAGAATGAATCCTAGCATACCCTTATTCCAACAAAAGACTGTCCAAAATATGTTTGAACGAATACTGTTCATCTGGTCTATACGCCATCCAGCCTCAGGGTATGTTCAAGGAATAAATGATCTAGTCACTCCTTTTTATGTGGTGTTCCTGCAGGAGTTTCTAGAAGGAGATGAACCATTCGAATTGTGCTATGTGGATCAGTTGACTCAAGAACAGCAAAGAATAATAGAAGCTGACTCCTTTTGGTGTCTGTCCAAGTTCCTGGACAGCATACAGGACAATTATGTGTTTGCCCAAATAGGTATCCAGAAGAAAGTGCTGCAGCTGGAAGAACTGATCAAAAGAGTTGATGAAATATTGCATAAACACTTGAAGCAGCACAGTGTCAGTTATCTTCAGTTCTCCTTCCGCTGGCTGAACAATTTGCTCACCAGGGAACTCCCCTTGAGGTGCACCATAAGACTGTGGGACACATATCTAGCTGAAAATGAGTGCTTTGCCACTTTTCAGCTCTATGTGTGTGCTGCCTTCCTCCTCTATTGGCGAGAGGATCTGCTGAGGCAAAATGATTTCCAGGGCCTCCTGTTGTTGTTGCAAAACCTTCCTACTCAGTCTTGGACCAGTTCACAAATAGGGGTGATTGTGGCTGAGGCCTACAAACTGAAGGTTATGTATGCTGATGCTCCCAATCACCTTCTGAGTAATAATTCCAGTGATAGATAGTTGAGTGATTGCAGTTTTATTGATATTATATCCTGTCCAATGTTATATTTTTTGTATCAGGTTCTTGAATTAAATGTTATGGTGAATTGCCATTTTGTTAGAATGAAGATTTGAAGAGTGTGGTTCAGGTGCAAAACTTTAGAATTAGGAATATTCACTAACAGTGAACTTTCAGAACCTTCTGAATCAGAATATTAGTAAAAATACAAATTGTCCAGCATTTCCTCAATGATTTGTGGGGAATACCAAGGAGAATACTGAGGTAGCTGGAGTTGAAATATCATGGCAATTAGATATTTAAATTTTTTCAAAAATTACTAAGAACCATGGGGGAAATATAGAGGTCACTGCAGCTACTTTGCATAAAAATCACTTCAAGAAATAAATAAAATTACTGGAGAATGATGATGAGGAATTGAATATAATGACCTAAATAATAGTAGAAACTAGTACTGGGGTCATCTTCCAAAAATGATAAGTACCTTGATTTGAAGTAACATACATAATATACCTATATGCACCCAATAGATTCCAGAAAATAAGGCAATGCAAAACTGAAAAGTTAGAAATAATTACGATCGATGTTTAAAACATTTGTACCTTACTATAAAATTACAGTATAATATTCTTTTCTAAAAAAAAATCAAACATTCTGAATAATGATGTTTTTTACTATTAATAAATTTTTATAATGAGTTATTATCTTTATCATTCAAATCATTATTAGTTGAATACCTAATCATATCCAAACCATTCAAAACTATTGGAATTGAAGAAAATATATATAAGTAGGCCCCCCCTCCAGAATTTGAATTAGTACAGAACGTCGAATTTTAACATATTGTACTAGATTGAAGTGTGAATACATCGCAAAGATTGAAAAACTAGACAGGTAGCCTCGAGACTTAAATTTCAGCGAGTCTGGACTGTACTATGCCTACCCATTTGAATGTTTAGAGTTGGATACTGAAACGGTATCGATGAATGACCCTGTATACTTCGTTATTGTTACTGGTTAACTATCGATGTTTATGAAAAACTATCGATAGTGTGACACCTCTAGTCTCTTTGACATCTGCCATCTAGATTGTAAATGTATTATTATAAGGGCAAGGGCTCCTTCCCTTCTCCTTGTTGGATTGTTTTGTTTCCCTGCTGCCTGGTGACAGAACATTTGTTTTGTTTTTTACTTTTTGATGTTACTTGAGAAATGGCTTTTCACAAATTTAGCTCTCCTAGATTTATGGTGATGTGTTTTGAAATTGTGCCACGGCCGTGGTTAGTTGTGAATGTGAAATTAGTTATGTGCAATTCTTGATTTGGGGGTATAGATGGAGGACAACAACGGGGTGAGACCGCGAACCCGTTCGAATTCAGCAAGAGTTTTGGTTTTTAGTGAACCACAGCCTATCGGGCGATCAGAATTGAGGCAAAACTCTGTTGCTGAATCTTCGAATATTGTCAAGCAACATTCATCAGGTTGGAATTTTTTGTGATATGAGTAATTTAGAAGAAATGTCATTCAATCGATTGAGGTAGATTCGTTTGTAGATTCTTTTAGGAATTTCATGAGTAATCTAAGTTTGACAATTACCTCATTACTGATTACCAACTTATTTTGAATTTGCATATCTCTTTTCAAACATTGACAATCTAAAGAAAATAAACTGGAATCTTTGAATGCACACACAAATGCAGAAAACCAGTGGTAACTTTATGAGATGGTCTTTCTGTAGGTGTGTTTTTGATATTTTATAGATATCCTCAAAACAAACCCCTACAGATAAAAAATTATTTTTTACATTCATTCTGAATAGACCTACACCAATCAAATTAAATAATCACCCGAAGATTTTCACCATATTATCCATGCTTCAGTTACCCCTATTACCAATAAACAATGTTGGGTTTATTTATAGCTTTCCTACCCACTCTCATACCTATTTGAGAACAAATTCTGTGATTTCTTCACTAGTAGAGGGACATCCTTGTAGGGGGTTGAATTTTTTCCTTTCTCCTGTGGAAAGTAATTTTTTCAATTTTTTGCAGCTGTAAGTAGGTATTTACTGTGAAGTTAATGACTATTCCATTTTATATCTCAAATCTCACATGAACATCACTCAAAAAATTATCCAATGATACAGCCAGCCATCAAGCAAAAAGAACTTCTAGGTTCCTTACTATTATGACAAACTTTTTTATCCTTTATAAATAGATTGATCCAGCAAATCTGAGAATGAATCTAACAAATAAGTCCCGACAAGTTTTCACTCAAGTTCCCACTAAAAATCCTGGCACTATCTAAGAATCAAACAGGGTCAACTGCATCAAAGAAAATGGTTCAAATTCCACTATGAGCTGTAGGTCCTGTTCTTCCTGACCTTGTACAATTATTTGTTCCCAAATAGTTGCATCCTATGTTGAAATAGTGATATACATATAAAGAAAATGCCATAACCATTGTCATAAATGATGAGTTACTTGATAATACTATTTGTTTTTCAAACATGTTTTTTTTTTCATTTTGATTTTCATACTTTACCAGTTCTCTGATTAGTTCTAGATCCACAAAATGATTCTTCAAATTTGGTCCGAATTAGGAAGTCCACCTTAGGAAAATCTGCACCATCTTTGTCCATCAATATGGTAAGTCTATTGTCTCAACATAATACAGCATCAGGTATGGGATATTACTTATTGTTTGGAAATCTGTAGTTTATGCAGAGGAAGGTAAGAAATATTTATAATTGGACATTCACAAAGAATTATGTAAAGTGGCTCTAGAGCAGGCTCTAGTTTCAATATTTCAAGCAAATTTTGCTTCGAATGGCATTTCAGCCAGGCTATAACTCTGAAATTTCAAATTTGCCATAAACTTATTCTCCAAACTTATACCCACTTTAGAATTGAGTATTTGATACTATGTGTCCAAGATAAGGATTTGGATGTTATTGGAAGAGGTATGGTAAAATAAAAGACACTTTCTCATTGATACTTATGTTCTCAAGACTTTCTTACACTTGTAAATGTACCTACCTTTAGTCCTTCATCTATTTATGTCCATTATTAATACTGTGTAATGTAGTTTGTAAAGTAACTTCAGTAAATTGTCTTAATATTCTGTATTGTATAATATTATATATTATTATTATCTTCAATCAATTCAAAACATGATCCTTATATATAAGAGGATGAATCTGTATAGAAGGTGAATTTTCTTGATTCAATAAAAAAGTACTTTATCAAGGAAACCATCAACTTTACCCCATGATAGACATCCTTTTCTTGGACACAATTGAGGTATATATTCTAAAGAATGAAACAGTAATCAACTAGTCGAATAAGAATATCATGTAGAGTATGATTTTTTTGCACATATTCAATTTTTTTTTGAAAATAATTTATCAGAAACATGTTCAAACTGAAAAAAATCCTCTCAACAGAGGTGAGATCTGAATTGGTCTTTCCAAATTAAAGGAAACTTTTATAAGCCAGTAAGGTTAATAATGCAGGGGAAAAAAGTAGTGTAAATCTGTTGTAGGGTATGTTGATAGAAAATCGAATCTTGAACAACTTCTTCATTGTGAGGTTTTCCAAGATTTTGAAAAATTAATTTTTTGTAATGAAAATCAAAAAGACAAGTTTTACTGGTTTAGCAAACTGAGCAATAAAAAAAACCGAGGGGGAAACAACTCTCTAAATAGGTGTACACCATGGAATTTTAAGTACTTCAAGTATGATTTTTAATACATTAAGTACATTTTAAATAAGCTTTTAAGTCTCGTTTCAGGTACTTCAATATTCAAATACCTGTTAACAGTACCTTAAGTACCAGTTTTAAGTGTTTTAAGTACTTTTTAATTGCCAGATATTTAAATATGGTGTACACATTTTGGGTAGTCGTTTCCCCCTCTAATCTCAATTTAATTTTGAATCATTTTCCAAGGAAAAACTATTCTTGAACTCCAAATTCATGTTAACTATACAGTGTGTCCCACTTACCATGCTCACCATGGGTATCTTTTTAACGGTGAGAGAGACGAGGTCGGTTAAATGACACCAAATGTGGAGTTTGTCAAGGCCAACTATAATGTGAAAAAACATTTTGATAAAATTTATTGGTTTTTGTTTTATACGCAAAAAACAGATTTTGATCATTTTCATGTCTCCTCCATAACTTCTTTATTTATGAAAATATTCAAATAGGAATTTCACATCCTCATGGCAGTTTTCCAAAGTGATTTCGAAAAAAATATGAAATTTATACCAACTCTTCTAGAATTTGAGATATCAGCACCAACTTTAGTTTTTCAAATGTAGGTCATAGCTCACTATGACTCAGTTACAAAAAACTTTTTTTTCTCTTGCAGATGATATGTCGCAGTAATAGTTTTGTGTTGATAACAACGGAGTTATCGTCATTTATACAAAAACAAAAAATTATTTGGAAGCCGCCATCTTGAATTCATAAATTTTAACAAATAAATCATGATCTCCGACCTCAAAAACCTCCACTTACCAATTTTGAATGGAATCGGACCAAATCTTGTCCGCCATCTTGGAGCAGCCATTTTTTTTTAATTGATGGCGGACAAGATTTGGTCCGATTCCATTCAAAATTGGTGAGTGGAGGTTTTTGAGGTCGGAGATCAAGATTTGTTTAAAATTTATAAATTCAAGATGGCGGCTTCCAAATAATTTTTTGTATAAATGACGATAAATCCGTTGTTATCAACACAAAACTATTACTGCGACATATCATCTGTAAGAGAAAAAAAAGCTATTTGTAACTAAGTCATAGTGAGCTACATTTGAAAAACTAAAGTTGGTGCTGATATCTCAAATTCTAGAAGAGTTGGTATAAATTTCATATTTTTTTCGAAATCACTTTGAAAAACTGCCATGAGAATGTGAAATGCCTATTTGAATATTTTCATAAATAAAGAAGTTATGGAGGAGACATGAAAATGATCAAAATCTGTTTTTTGCGTATAAAACAAAAACGAATAGATTTTATCAAAATATTTTTTCACATTATAGTTGGCCTTGACAAACTCCACATTTGGTGTCATTTAACCGACCTCGTATCTCTCACCGTTAAAAAGATACCCATGGTGAGCATGGTAAGTGGGACACACTGTATAAATAAAAAACATGCATGTCTTAACAGTATATCATTGACACTCCCCAAATTTGATCTAGGTCAGAAAGTAAGGAAAAAGAAACTTCCATACAAATATCTATGGTTTTACATAAGAAATCATCTTCTGATTTGAATATTCCTCAATTTCAGAAGGATGCCTCTTCTGTCAGTAGACGAAATAGCCGTTCTGCTGCCATCCATAGATTAAGCTTTGTAGCAAACACAAGTCCAGTACTGCCAAGATCTCAGTCACCCGTTTGTGGCAGCCCACTTGATAGTCCAAGAACACATTTTAGCATAAACAACTTTTCATTTGCACCTATCAAGAGGTGAGTTCTTCATCATCTTCATCATATTATTGCCACATATTTCTACAATTTCTTTCAGTTGTTGTTCAGTAGGATAGCCAAGTTTTATTGCCTAGAGACCCCAGAAGTGGAGCAAGTACTTCTAATTATGGTAAAAGTGCACTTATCATGCGATGGGGTTTTTTTCGAAAATTTTTTTTGGTACTTACGTATTTTCGTCCGAAAAACACGAATTTCAATGAAAATGTGAACAAACCACTATTTATCGAGATATTTCACTATAAAGTTACAAATTTCACCATCTTTTCCGCCTGTCTTATATACAGGCTGATTCACGGTGGATGGCACATTAGACGTTTCTGGTGAACCAGACAACGGATCATTTTGAAAATTCAACGGTGGGCATATTCGGACATTCTCTAGCCAACTAAAATATTTTCGACAATGCGGTGTTGCCGCTTCTATTAGAAAGCAGTAGCAACTTTGATTTTTCAAATGGAACACTCTGTATTTTATTGCATTTTTAGATTCTCCCTGAAGAGCTGATTCCATCGATGCATCACACTTGGGGTCTAGCGGAAATTATTACAGAGATATAGGGTGTGAAAAATCGACATTTTTCAACTTTAGGATTTTTTTGTGTCGAAACTATTCATCATTGGTCAAAACGGCTCACATGTCCCTGTCTCAACTTTCGATTAACTATCTACTGATATTTAATTGGGACATATACCGGGTGATCAAGATTCTGAATTCTGCACCACCCTGTATTTGTTTCAATTTAATGTTTGTAGATAGTTGATCAAAAGTTGAGATAGGGACATGTGAGCCGTTTTGACCAATAATGAATAGTTTCGACAAACAAAATTTCTAAAGTTGAAAAATGTCGATTTTTCACACCCTATATCTCTGTAATCATTCCCGCTAGACCCCAAGTGTGATACATCGATGAAATCTGCTCTTCAGGGAGAATCTAAAAATGCAATAAAATACATAGTGTTCCATTTGAAAAATCAAAGTTGCTACTGCTTTCTAATAGAAGCGACAACACCGCATTGTCGAAAATATTTTAGTTGGCTAGAGAATGTCCGAATATGCCCTCCATTGAATTTTCAAAATGATCCGTTGTCTGGTTCACCAGAAACGTCTAATGTGCCATCCACCGTGAATCAGCCTGTATATCACACAATGTTGGACACATTTTTTTTATTATATTAGTCAACTAGAAATATGATTTTCTTGTGATTTATCCATGTTTAGTGAAAAGAAGGAAGAATATCATTTGAAATAATGGCGTGTGTAATGTCATTCCAAAGCAATCTATTGACATTTGACATCTCGTATTTGGATTGCATAATATGGATTAAATGGCCGTCATCTGGTATGCTTGCTCACTAAATAGGAAAAACTCGCCATAAAAATCATATTTCCTGTTGAATTTTCTATCTTAAAATGTGTCAGTGAAGTACATCATGAGTATATAAAGTGTCCAATGACAAAATAATAAGAGCAAGTACCTGTAAATGCATCCAACACAAGGGGGAAAAGAAGGCAAAATTTCGAACTTTTTCTTGAAATATCTCGATAAATAGTGGTTTGTTCACATTTCCATTATGAAATTCGTGTTTTTCAGACGAAAATACGTAAGTACCAAAAAAATTTTTCGAAAAAAACCCCATCGCATGACAAGTGCACTTTTACCCTCTTTTTTTTTCTGAAAAAAGAAGGAAGTGAGAAATTATATTGTTTTTCAGGCATTTGATAATGTCCCTTTACCAGTGTTTGCAATATTGCAATCATTGTAAATTATTTGATGTTGAACAAAAGTGCACAAACTATTAGCCACACCAAGGATAGTCAAATCTTTGAAGGATGAATTGATGTTAAGGACTTTATTTCTATGAAATTTAGCTTTATAAAATTTCTTTAGAGACCTGATTGTCAATAATTTTGTTTTAGTTTTAAAAACATATAAACATAATAGGAAAGTTTCCTGCATTCAGATTATTATGAAAAAAGTTGTATGTATTTTGTTTTCTCCATAGACTCAGATTTTTCTTTAAAAATTTAAAGAATTAGTGCTGGTTCCTTCACCATCCTGCAGATGTCATTGGTGACCTGAAACCAGTTCACACCAAACCTTACTAGGTTTCTTCTTGTTTGAAAAATTAACAGTCTGAAACCATCAGGAGGCAGTTTCACAGAACTGTTGGTATTTTTCATGTTCCGTGGAACTGCGCATGCTTCTGATGGTTCCTTACCATTTATTTTTCAAACAAGAACAAACCTACTGATAGCTGCGTTTTTACTGAAGTTAGGTTCTCATTGTCTTTTCATTTATTCATTCATGGATTGGTATAATATTTACTGTTTTTCTTGTATTCCCTTTAATTTATTTGTCGATTGTGATTAATATCAGTAATGGGAATTGGGCTCAAAATTCATTCATGAACAACAAAACTAAATGTACCTGTATTCATGGCGTCATTGCTGCTTGAAAATTTCTCAATAGTTGAGTTTTATTTGTTCCATTCTGGTAACGGTGGTGAGATCACAATGATTTTTACAAATAAAACGAGAAACTTCATGACCTCCTATGAGAGAATTGACATATCATAGATGATGAAGGTTATATTTATATATTCAGGCTCAGAATTATTTCAATATCATAATACTATATTTAAGAATCAAGAAAATTAATAAAATGAATCAATGTATATTTGGAGCAGTGATTGTGGTGCTTGGAGAAAGTTCTCTGAGATCGAGAGCATCCATTCTATCTGGGAATGAAGATATGAAAAATGTATTACTTGAAAGAATCATAAACTTGTGAACGTCAGCATAAAAATGTCTTTCAAATGTCTTCTACTATCATAAAGTTTCGTTTTCGTTAATCTATTTTCATTCTTTGACAACTCTCGACAGCCATTCCACGTCATTCCTTGTAGTGAGATGGAATGAAAAGTAGCAACCGGAATCGGTAAAGTTGCAAATAAAACTACATGTTAAAGTGATTCCGGTGGCGGAATCGGATAAATAAAACGCAACTTGTACAAGAATCAAATTGATTTTAATCAATTCAATGGGCATTCTAGATTGCAAAAACATAATGCTAATCAGTGTTAAACTAATTTTGGAAACCCACATTTTATTTATAGAAATTTCAAAATTTTTCATTCAAAATAGGTTGTGTGCAAGATCTGTCAGATAACCGACTCTGGAGATGAAATATTGGAACTCAACCTCACTTTTCTTATTCGTTTACAAAGGATTGACATTATTTTTTTGGCATATGAATCATGTTTTTCGGCTATTCTTCAATTCAAACATACCATCACATTGTTCTGTTGTACAATGCTCATAAAATGCAGCGTCAGAAGAAGGAATTGGAGTTTTCAGGTAGATACATTATGATTTAAAAGTACTATAGTCACCACAGTCACTCACATATAGTTTTCATTTCAAAATTTTGTCATTTCTCATTGGAATTCCTTCTGCAATAGTAACTAATAGAAATACTCGTGAAGGTTCTAAAAGATTGGATTCATGCAATCATTATGCAATCAAACGGGAGGACTGGTGTGTCTGACATGCTGACGAAATATGATCCTGTGTGTTGTAGACATTTTCATGCTTTAGCAGTATTAGTATAGAAGGTGGCAGAAGGAATTCTAATGAGAAATGAAAAAAATTCATAATAAAAAAAACTATGTGAGGTCACTATTTTCTTGAATTATCATATTCCTTCGTCTCTCGCTTCATCTTTTGTGCATTGTACAACAGCACAATGTGATGGCTTGCTTGAATTGATGAATAGCCCAAAAACACTATTCGTTTGCCAAAATATTGTGAAAAACTATTTCAATCCTTTGATTTCTTTGTGAACAAATAAGAAAAGTTGGGTTGTGTTTCAATGTTTTACCTCCAGGATCGGTCATCGTGCACGCGACCAATAAAAAAGGTAGCAAACGTCATAATGACGTCAACATAATCTATGTTTCTTTCACTTCGCCCACTACCAAAGTTTACTCATGTATCTTCACACTGATATCCACTCCGTTCATTTTTAATTTGAATGTTTCCATTATATCCTCCATTTTTCATAATCATCATTTGTAAACAAATATTCAAGTTTAACTTTTTATTTTATTTTATTTATTTCAACGGTTACACCATTTTTATAAAAGAAATAATAACAAAAGATGAATAATAATAGGAGCAATGAAAATTACACCCATAGAAAAATATTACATTAACTATATATTCATAATTAATTTACTTAGACTGCCACTGAATAGGTCACAATGATTTTGAAGAACAACATAATTCCTTTGGATCCTCGAAATAGCGTTATTGTTGCCATCATTCCTTGAGTGAAAGATCAAGGAAAATAAAGGAGGATTTCTTGCTCTGGCCGACGTATTCAATCTAATCAAACTAAGTAGATCTGGAGAATTAATAAGACCATTGACCAAATTATATTGGAAACACATATCCAACACTTAATCTGCGATTTTCTAAAATTAGGAGATTAAGTTCCATTGATCCAACGTGATAACCCTTGCTATATGAATATGTTCTCAAGAACGTTTTCCGAATTCGTTTTAAACTATCAATATGTATTTGATAAAAAGGTGTCCAAACGATGGAGCCATACTCTAATGAAGGTCTGACCAAATGGCAATAAGGTGAACTATAAGTGTTTCAGGAGAGAATTGTTTACGGTTCCTAGTAATGAAACCTAAGTTCCTTGAAGCAGTGTTCACTACCTTAGTAATATGACTTCTTAAAGATAGTCTAACATCAAATATTATGCCTTTATGTCTTTTATCTTATTGACGCTCTTCAATACAGAATTATAAGCGTTCTCAATATAATTATGACCCATTGAAAAACTTATACAAGAATATATATGAAATATTGAGGTCGAAATAATTAACCATAGACCAAACATTGAAGTTATCCAAATCAGATTGCAGCAGATCAATATCCATATGATGCTGAATTTCTTTAAATATTTTGAAGTCATCTGCATATAATGTAAAAACAGAGTGAAAAATATATTTGCTAATATCGTTGACAAACAAATTGAAAAGTAACGGTCCACAATGAGAGCCTTGAGGAACTCCTGACAATACTGGAATTACTTTAATTAACAAACTTTTGATTCTCACACTTTGTTGACGACCAACCAAGAAACTCTCAATCCATGCTACCAAACCCAGATGTATACCCATATCCCTTTGTTTTGCTGATAATAAAGTATGACTCACCCTGTCGGTATAAATACTATGAACTTGGGTTTTATTCTCAAAGGCGTTCAACAGGAAGTTCTGATAAGTTAAGCGATTACTATTGGTAGATTCACCAGAGCAGAAACCATGTTGTTCAGTAATGATTATATTCGAGATTTGTGCTGACAGATAGGCTGTTACCATTTTATCTAACATTTTGGGAATTGTTGATTGAATACATATGCCTCTATAATTGGTAATATCCTCCCGGTTCCCAGATTTGAAAATAGGAGTAATATAACCACCTTTACCAACTATGGAGTTGGTAAACCCTAGGGAAGATAAGGGAGGTGTACCCAACAGAAATGACATCATGGTTGAACACAATGAAATGGGATTATCAGCTTTAACCTTGATGGGTAATGTGAATGAAATATCCCTCTTGTCTATTTAGGTCAAATGAATCAGATTTTACAGTGATTTATTTCTGACAGTTGATTGCAGTTTGACATAATATGGTGGATAGTTGTGAGGGAAATTCAATATATGCAAAATTCGATTTTGAAATATGACTTATTTATCAGTAATTAATAACATAATGTGGTAAATTTATGTGTCAGATTGAGACTTTAGCAAGAACCTGCAGCAATAACACAAAAATCTAATTATGATTATCAAATTGCAGTCACAGCTACCTTTTGACGTCATTATTCATTCAAGAAAATGCAATAATTTAGCTTCCCCTTGAAACACAGATGCCACCTTGTGATTTATGGTTGAATATCCGCGATAGAAAATAAGCGTACGCCACCTATCGGAGTTCTTGAAAGCTGCCAAAGCGGTATGTTTACTTTGCTTTTATTGGTTAACATTTGATTTTTGTTTGCACTCATTGGACTGCCGTCAGGTGGGGCGACGTGTTATTTTCTGTCGTGAATAGAATTTCAAGATGCATACAGTGATATTCTTTCAATCTGAAATATTTCACTTGAACTGAACTGAATCAGTTAATATGCGTTCTTTCAAATGACGTTCATTACAATCATGTCAATTGATTCAGTTTAGTTCAAGTGAAATGTGTCAATACGATCAGAACGAAAGAATATCACTTAAGATAGGCTGTGAAATATACAGGGTCAATTTTGTTTGGTCAAAAGAAAAGGCGCAATATTGATTGAAGAACTTTTGCGAATTTCAAAATTGTACAAAAACCACAAAGCGATGAGATCACAATTATTGGTTCAATTCATAGACTATCTGTCTTTCAAGTTCATACTTTCTTATTCCTAGAATTATTCCTGGATATCGCGGTGATGGAAGAAGATGGTCTGTTGCTTCATTGCCCTCGTCTGGGTATGGAACAACCCCTGGAAGTTCAAATATGTCGGTAAGAAAAAAAATCACTTAAAACTAATCACATACATTAGAACTTTTTGCGATGATGTTCTTTATGTTTTGATTTGATCAATTTTTTGACATTAAGTGGTGGTAATATTTTGCAGTCGAAATGTTCTAGTCAAGAGAGATTACACCAGTTACCACATATTCCTACATCTGAGGACATACGGATCCTAACCCACCACTTCTCCAGCAACGAAAGCAATGCATCCTTGCCTAGTTGCGAAGAAAACTCTAACTCTGCTAGTCATCGTTCGCCACTTCATAGACCTAGATCAAGAAGTCTCAGGTAAAAATTTTATACAATGTGGGTTCTAAGAACGAAGAAGCTCATTAAAATTCATATCTCAACCGATTTTTTTTTCATTAGGAAGGGCATCAAAAAAATCTAGTTTTTTTTTTCATGTCTATTTCGTTTTAGTGATAATATTGACCTTTTGCCGGAAATATTCGACGATTGTTAGCTTAGGGTTAGGTTAGGTTGACACAATGAACTAAATATAAACACCTTGAAGGGAGACGGCCGTTCACTGGAATAGCACAAAGTGCAACAAAGATAGCTCTTTCCTACTCTTGTTGTTTAATGGTGGATTGGTGTTTACGTTTGCTTTCATCTAATAATTGAAGTACTTTAGATTTTTTTTCTCTCATCTAAACAGGCAAAAAAATGAAGACATAAGTTCATTGTCTTTGATTATGTGACATATATCTTCATTTGGCGTGTTTTGTTTTATCAAAAGGTGTGAATTTGTTGGTGTGAACTGATTGTTGAGAAGGTTTGTGATTTCATATTGATAAACAATGGTGATTTATTGTGTCGCCTTTGGATACAAGAACGAGCAAGACAAAAGGAAATTGTCATTCCATGGGTAAGTTGAATATTGTTCAGATTTTTGGAAATTATTGTTCTTGAAATGATCATCAGTTAGGTACAATTTTCCCAGTCTCAGAATATGTTCAAAAACTATACCATTATTATTTGTCGAAGTTGAATCCTTCCATGACTTTTTCATGAACATATTAAGTAATATTATTTGTTGCGGTTTTCCATTCAAAAGACCAGACATTCTTGAATTATGGATCAAGGCATTTAATAGAGAGGATAGGACTCCATCTAAAACCAACAAGCTTTGTGGAGAGCATTTCTTGCCAACTGATAACTTATCTAGACATACCAGGTACTGCTAGGTTATTGAAACCAGATACTGAACCTATTATATTTTCATTTCCTAAGCATTTGTTGACCAAATAATGCTGATCCTCGCAGGAAAATAATAAAACTCATAGTTGATTAATAATGAAAACAAAGTATGTTTGCACCTCTTTAGAATAAAAAACTTGCTAGTACTTTATTTTCATGATGCATCTGTGGACGTTCATAACTTGGGTCCTAAGGAAGATGTTTCTCATATTATGGACTTTGATTTGCCAGCTCCCAAGTTTTGAAGTTCATCAATGAAGAAAACCAAACTGTTCCATTGGAGAAGGATATTGTATTGAGAATTGTATTTTTTTCTAATAGGGATATGTTTGTAGGCAGTGACCTAATGGAAAAATAGGAACCTATGGAAATTATGCTCTTAATGGACCGTAGGTACTCAATACCATTCAAGAACATCTTTTCAAATTTTTTCTATCGTTTTTCTTTTTCTTCTGATAGTGCTGAGACATTGTGCTTCGCTCACCCTGTCAATATATTGTGACATTTGAATGAAAATATATGATTTCAATTTTGTATTCATTTGACTTTCTAATCCTGTAAGAATGAAATTTCATTTTTAAGTCAATAAAAAAATCAATAATAATAATAACAATAATAATATTTCAATGATAAGTGATTGCAGCATTATCCTTTATCCTAAATGAATATTTATATTCAATCGCGTTTACTGTTGAATGAAAGCAAAAAACGAGAAAATATTTCGATCGCTTCCCATTAGCCAACATAAGATTAGATTAGATTAGATTAGATTAGATTTGGAATGGGGCCTTCGGGCTATCTGCCTCCACACTGCGACCTTTTCAGATCTATTGTGCCTGCCCTCAAAATGGATTAGAGTTCTTCGGCTAGCCCCGCCTTCTCTATGAGACTCCATAGGCTAGCTTTCAGATCTCCTGTGTATCTCTGGGCTCCTGGTTTTTCCTCACCCAGCGTAAGGAACCTTAGTCTTGACAAGCCCTCACAGTGGCAAAGTATGTGTACTGCTGTTTCTTCCTCTTCTTGACAGAACCTGCACAGCAGTTCTTCAGACAGACCTATCGTACTCATGTGTTTGTTGAGCCTACAATGCCCTGTGAGAAGTCCCACTAGTATTCTAGTTGAACTTCATTTCTGGCTTAGTAGATATTCTGTGAATGTTGGCGATGGTTTTTTAATAAACTCTTTTGCCTGTCTCATTCCTGGCGAGTTGTTCCACCATTCTTGAGATTTAGTTTGCATCCATGATTTGATACTAGTCTTTTGTATAGCTCTCGCAATACCACAGAAGGGTTCTGGGCCATTAAGAGCTTTGTTTGCTCCTGCTCGGGCAAGTGAGTCTGCCTCTTCATTGCCCTCGTACCCTGTATGTGCTGGTACCCATGCTAGAGTCAATCTGTTCTGACTGCCCAGTGCATTTAGGGTTTCTAAGCAGTCCCATACTAGTTTTGAGTTAACTTGCATAGAGTTGACTGCTTTGATTGCCGCCTGGCTATCTGAATAGATTGCAATGGTTTTGCCTTTAAACTCTTGCCTTATCAATTCTTTCACGCAATGATGTATTGCAATAATTTCTGCCTGAAACACCGTCGCGTATTTGCCTAAGCTCAGTGAGATTCTTGTCTTTGGCTTGACCCCATAAATACCAGCTCCTGATCCTTCCTCAGTTTTGGAGCCGTCCGTATAGACAGCAATGTCTGCATGTCTGCATTGATAGGAGGTCCTTCCTTCCATGCCTCTCTGTCCGTTATACTTAGTTTAAAAGTTTTTTCAAAGCTATATTTTGGAATTATGCCATCCGTTGGCATCCCCATGATGAAGTGGCTTTCCAACTCTTCATATAGCTTCCTATAGTCTTTACCGTGAGCGTTGCTTATGGGTGCTTGACCCCTTGACAATCTACTCACGACTGCTCTGGCTTCGCCTTGAATATATATTTGTAGTGGTGGTAGGTTCAAAAGGACCTCTAAAGCGGCTGTTGGAGTGGTTTTCATTGCACCAGTGGCACTCAGGCACGCTTGCCTTTGAATAGCACTGAGCCTTCGAATCACTCCAGCCTGTTGTGTCTTTGACCACCAAACTACTGACCCATATGCTATCATAGGCCTGATGACGCTGGCATAGAGCCATGTGGTCATTTTTGGTTGCAGTCCCCAATTTTTTCCGCACATTCGTCTGCACAGATTGAAGGCTACTGTACTTTTTTGAACAATTTTTTGTAGGTGTTGATTCCATGTTAACTTATGGTCAAAGATGACTCCTAAGTATTTTGCCTCCAGGGCGAACGGAATTTCTACCCCGTTGAGTACTGGTGACTTTAATCCATCCAGTACTCTCTTTTTCGTGAAATATAGTGGTTTTATGAGGGTTCACGGTGAGTTCCTCCTCTTCACACCAATTGTCAATTATGTTTAGAGCGGTTTGTGTGAGCTCCGAGACCGTACTTGCGAATCTACCTCTAGCGATATCCGCCAGGTCGTCGGCATATCCTAGGCAATAATACCCTTTGGATGTTAGCCTTTTGATCAGTTCATCCATTAGAATGGCCCATAGTAGGGGCGATAATACTCCTCCCTGTGGGCATCCCCTATCTGCTCTAGCTGTCAGGGTTGTCTCGCCAATTGTGGATATGATAGCCCTATTTTTCAAATTGACATTTATCCACTGGCACATGAGTAGTGGTACTCCTTTCCTTGCTAGGGCGTTAATTATAGAATTTGTCGATGCGTTATTGAAAGCACCTTCTATGTCTACGAATGTTGTTATAGCTATTTCTTTGTCCTCTATCGACTTTGCGAGTAGCCTGTTCAAATCGTCCAGTGCTAAGTCAGTTGACTTGCCTGGCTGATACGCATATTGGCGTTCGTTGAGCAGGTTTCTTTGTAATACCTCGTCTCTTATGTATCTGTCTATCAGTCTTCCCAGCGTTTTGAGCAGGAACGACATTAAACTTATTGGGCGGTATGAGTTAGGCGTTTTGTCACTCCCACTTTGGGTAGGTAGATGACTGTCACCTTCTGCCATACGATGGGTATATATCGTATTGCTATACAAGCCTTGAATATTCGATACAGATGTGGAATTAGTATTTCCTGCCCCTTTTGAAGCAGGATGGGGTATATTCCATCTACTCCAGGAGATTTATAAGCCCACCTAATTCTGTTTGGCCTCGATATATCTGTAGCTAGCCTCCATTCCATGGCAGTTGGCCTATTCGGCCTGCCAATGGTGTTGTCTGCCACTATCGGCTCATTTAGAATTACTGAGGCCGGAAAGTGTGCCTCAGTGAGCACCTTCAGACTCTCCTCAAAAGTTGCCGTGTAGGTATTGTCATTCTTCTTCAGGAAACCTACTTGGTTTACAGTACCTTCTCTGGCTAGCACTGTGTGGATCCTTGAACATGTGGGGGTTTCTGTGACCTCCTCACAGAACTTTTTCCACGATTGCCTTTTAGATTTCCTAATCTCTTTGTTGTACTGCGTGAGTTTAACCTTATATGTGGTCCAATTCTGGTCGATTTTTGCTTTGTTGAATAGCCTTCGCACCTCCCCTCGTAGGGATTCGAGATGCTTGTTCCACCAGATTGTTTTATTGTTTTGTTGTCTTGTTTTTTCCGGGCAGTTACCTTCGTAGGCGGCAACTATTGCCTTGCTTACTTGTAAGATAGAAAGAGATAGGTATCCGTAAACACTGCGGGTCGCCTGAACAATATTTTTGCCTCACTCGTCGTTCACAGAGGGTCCCTTCCAAGGCTATTTAACTCTATATCCAGGTGTTTATATTGAGTTCATTGGCGATAGGTGTCCCTGGTCTAGTATTAGCGGATGAAGCTGCTAGCGTCGTACCAGCTCTTGCTATGGCGATTGTTAGGACAGCTTGTTGCCTAATAATTTCGCGAATGTTATCAAAACGTTTGAGCTGTATGCGAGCAAGATGGAGTATGTCAATCGACGGATATTCACAGGAAAAATAGTTGATTTCATGATTGAGTCAGATAATATACGAACGCCTCGCAACAGTTGCTCATACTGGATCCATCATTCTGGCTTCCAACATAATTGACGTTATGTATGTCAAAACAGTCAAAAGCTGATAAATGAGGTTGTGATGTGTGTCAGTTCGGTTTCCGATAATTTTTAGTAATTAAAAAATTTCACAGTAATACATATATATTATTTACTATTCATACTCTGAATAAGGGATTCTGATTGGTTCTAGTGACCAAGAGTGGAATAGTCATAAAAACATTAGAGCCTTCAGCTGTTTCATAGTATACTTCCAGATAGTGATGTGAGTAAATTTTTTGACAGTGGAATATTTTCCATTTTTGACTGGTAAAAATATTAATTAGCCTTTTAAAAAGTATGTGTTTATCTATTTTGCATTATTTTGTATTTTTGAATTAACAAATTGATCATTATGATCTACATTTGAATTGGTTGGTAAGAAATGTGTTTTTATTTGATAGATGTTGTTGTCATTGCTGTATGCTATTCAAAATGGTGGGCCTATTGGCAATTTGAAGGCAGTGAGTTGATGAAGAAGAGTTAATTATATCACCAGGATATTCCAATGCCTTAATCAACCTCTCAATCACATTTTTGTGTCAGTTGCGTTCCAAAACTCTGCAGCAAATTAATTGAAGATGTTATAAAATATAATATATCAAACAGAAGGGTTGAAACCAATTTATTGAGCAAAAAATAAGTACATAGAAGGTTTGTTCTTGTTCTAAAAATAAACAGTCCCAAACCATCAGGAGCATGCGCAGTTTCACAGAACTGTTAGCATTTTTCATGTTCTGTGGAACTGCGCATGCTTCCGATGGTTGCGGACTCTTTATTTTTTTAACGAGAACAAACCTAGCATTGTCATTGAGCATAATATTGTGACTAGTTGCAGCCGAAATCTTACCAGGAAGGAAGTTGAATTAACTGGCAAAATATCAGTAATGATAGTTGTAGTTACATTGCTCTACTTTCAAGATAACACTTAATTCATTGTTCTTCACGTTATAATTTAAAATTGTTTGGAAAATTCCATCAAAACCATTCTGCAATTTTGTATTTCATTTTTATGAATTTTGCATAACTCTTTGAGGATATCCTTCATTTTTTTTCTTGCATACTATCGGGATTATGGTGAATGCTGATTTCTACCAGAGGTGCTTCTTCACTACAATATATTTATAGAGTACAGTGTCATAGTTATGTTGTTAAATGTTTATTCAAAACTCCCCACGCACAGCTCTTGGTTTGTGAGCGTATCTAGTTTATTTACTTATCATGTTGTATGTTATTTGAATCACTTGCAAATTTGAGAATTCATATTACCAAACACTGTACAAATTCACAGTGATATGGAACATGATTTGAAGATAATAGGCCAGTGGCTACTAACACATAAATTATCATTGAATTACGAAAAATGTTCATTTATGTATATAACAAAAAGGAAGAAACCTGCGGAACAAATAGATCCAGTAAAAGTTGGTGTTAATGAAATCAATTATACAGAATTTTCGAAATTTTTAGGATTGTTCATAGATAGAATACTTTCACGGTACAAACATGTTGAGAAATTACGTAATAAAATAAGCCCAATCATTGGAATATCATATAGAATTCGGAATCATATTCCTAGGTAGTATCTAATGAATATATATATTATAGCCTCATTTACTCTAAGATACAATACCTGCTTGATTTCTGCTTGGGGTTCTGCAATTAAATCTATATTGAGACCTTAACAAATTTTACAAAATAAAGCAATAAAATGTATATTCAAACTACCTTTTTTGGAACGAACTAGGAATTTCTACTAACCTAGAAATATTCTTGATATTGAGTCTATTTATAAGATGAAAATATGTACATTTATTCACTTAGTGAAAAATCATTTTAAACATTCGAACTTAATATTCACCCAAATGAGTAGTATTCATAATCATGGTACTTGAAATTATAATGGGCTCTCGACTATCAGGATCGAAACTAATTATGGAAAAAAATCAATTTTTAATGATGGAATAATTATACATAATTCTCTTCCTGATTTGCTGAAAAATTTGAATAATATATACAAGTTCAAAAGACGGGTAAAGCTCCATTTTTTTGTGAATGTGAGATGATTATTATGCATATTTTCAATGCTATTGTTTTTGATATCATTGATATTATTTCAGAATTCATATTCATAATAACACATATACTTATATTATATCTATGTTATACCTTAATTTGTTGTTGTTCTTATCCATCATTTGGTTGCCCCCTTACAAGCAACCCTCAGAAGTCTTCAAGAGACTTGTGCCAGCAAGGAATGACGAGGGTCTTCAACGTGTGATCCCAAACACTTTCTTAGGTCATCAGAAAAATTTCTGCGGTCGTAGTGGGAATCGAATCCACTACCGGTAATCCAACGAGGATAGAACATTGACGCTTTAACCATGATGTTATACGCTGGCCTATAACCTAGCATGTTGAATATTCAATTTTATGTTATATCATATCCCTGTATAGACTACAATGTTTCTTGGGATTTATGAATTAAGAAAGAAAAGAAATCTCGAATTGAAAACAGTTCATTTTACATTTCCATGGTGGTACACTATATATTTTTTCAATTTGTGGGTGTACCAATAGTTTGTTCACATAACAGCTAGTGTTTTTACAATTTTACATATAAAATGCAATAGATTACAGTTCAAGTTCTTAGTCTAAATAACAATTTCAAAAAAATATATATATTTTTAAATATATCTATATTTCTTCTCTTCGAGCATTCTTCCAAATAAAGTGTCACTGACAAGCTATCGGATTTTTCTTCTAGGCTCCCTGATAGAAAAATTCGTTAAACGCAGTGACATTTTGGGGCAAATCATCACATATATTGAAATAATACTCATACTTTTATTTTATATAGAAACGAGAAGAGAAAATCCCAAATAATCAAGTAAAATGACTTTATTTTTTTTTTCTGTTTCTCGCAGTAGTCCGAGTAGATCTCCAATCATCGACAACGAAATCTGCATGATGAATGTGCTGTACAAGGAACGTTTTCCGAAAGCCACCCAGCAAATGGAGGAGCGGCTGACCAATTTCATAGAGGAGAACAAGACGATCGATTTCGGCAAAGACTGCGACTATTTGCCGATCGTCAGGTTCGTTCACCATCAGGTGTTGGAGATAGCAAGAGATTGCCTGCACAAGTCGAACAGCAAGCTGGTCACCAGCCAGTATTTTCACGAGATGTCGGAAAATTTGGAACGGTTGCTCACAGAGGTGAGATTAATTTGCTGACTACCTCTACTTCACTTACCTGATAGCTATACTTTCGAGCGAGTTGTGAGCATTATTTCACCTACCACTCCGACGTTTCATTGTAACTTATTCAGTTTGAAAATCTGATTCCAATTGGAGTTGTGGTGGGAATTAATGTATGTACAGTGTGTATTTTTATCTTTTAACTCATATACGTAGATTTAACATTCAACATATTTTGACATGATATTCTTCCCATTGTTCTGATACCTTCCTCAAAATGAATGTACAGGGACGTTCTTTTATTCACCGGTAGCTCCATCAATCCACCAACTTCGTTTATATATTCGTTGGTGGATTCCAGTTTGCCGTAACCACGTGTTCATTAATTACTGTTGTGTCTCTCCAAAAACTAACAACAAAATATTGGATTTGAAAGCTGCTTCTCATTTGTCTAAGAAGAAATATGGAAGAATTAATCAAAATCAGCCTAGAATATGAAAACAAAAGAATAACTGCATTATAATAATAATAATAATAATAATAATAAAAATAAATTGACTTTATTTGACAAATGTACACGCATTTGCCCTGAAAAGGCAAAGATTAGCTAAATAGCTACTCTTGAACTCTTAACCTTTTCAGTTTACAGAATAAACAAAAAACTGAAATGAAAGTATTATACAATGTTATTAATATGGTATATGTATAGATAAAAGGCATCGATCTAAAAAATGTATGTAATATATGCATAGATAGAAAAAAAGGAAGTTAATTTAAGAAAGTAACAATGTGACTAGTCTTGTTCATTCAGCAGTTCATTTTTAACGAATTTTCTGAATTTATTCAATGGTGTTGTTAATTCTGGTTTGAAAGAATTCAAAAGTTTTACAGCATTATAGGTGAAACTGCGTTCAAACAGAGCAGTCGAATGGTTTGGCATGTTGAGTACTTGTGAATGTCTGGTGTTAAGATTATGTAAATTATTCCTAAAGACCAGTTTATGAGAAAGGTATGGCGGACTTTGAGTATTTAATAGTTTGTGCAGAAAAATAAGGAAATGGTATTTAAATACATTAGAAACTCTAAGCCATTTCAACTGCAGGATGTATTGAGAAATGTGATCATATTTCCTCAGATTGAATATGAATCTACAACAAGTATTTTGCACGCGTTGTAGTTTATATTGGGTGCATTTATCAAGACATGGATAGTAGACAATGTTACAATAATTCAAAAGAGATAAAACTATTATTATTATTATTATTATTGACACCAACAGGAATTGAAGAAATTTCGAGTGATAGGGACTTTTTTCATTGCCGTCATGAATTTCAAGAAATTAGTGAAAACATTCAGGAAACTTGAGTACCAACAGAGAATTCTTATTAATGACTATCCATACTCTCTCAGAGAACTAAGAAAAGCTGTTGATAGCAATACTCTACTAACAGCATACTTCGGTCACTTCTACTCATTGATGAGCTATGGAATATTATTTTGGGAGGGTTCACATTATCAAGAGGTTTTTACTGTACAAAAGGGAGCAACATGAATATTATGTGGCTTGAAAATTGGTGACTCTTGTAGGTGCCATTTCAGAAACTTGAATCTATTAACATTACCTGCAGTGTATGTTCTTGAATGTCTTAATTTTGTCTATATAAACAAGCACTTGTTCAATAATTATGTTAATGTGAATACTTATATAACTAGAAATAAAGACATGTTTTGTTATCCTCCCCATACAACCTATCTCATGGAAAAAAGCTGTCTCTATAAGTGTCTTGAATTATATGATTTATTACCAAACAACATAAAGGAAATTTTCAAGAAAGTAATTAAAAAATTATTAGTCACTGCAGAGCTCTATCGATTGGAAGTTATAAATCAAATGACATTCATTTAGGTGACTTTTTTTAATGGAGTTGAAAACCTGTTACATTGTATTGTTTATTTTTTTCCTCGATTTTTATGCTTGCTTAGGGACCAGTTAATTCTTTTTCAGAATATGGCATGGTTCCGTGGGTTTTTATTGGGTTTTCCTGTGGATGTAAAGCAAATGCACCATGATTCATTCAGCTCGATAAAAGTCACCCCGTTGCGCTTTGGCCACATCATACATATTCTGAAAGGTATTTTCTCTGCTGTCTCCCATAACCTGTGGCTATTTGACTTGTACCACACACAATTATTATAGTTCTCTGTAATAACATGCTGTTATTGGTACTCCATAAATTCTATTCTATTCTATTCCATATCATAATTTGATGCAATATTTTGTATAGGTTGTTGAGAATTTTCATCCTATCTCGTCTACTCCCCAACATAAACAATATCTCCTCCTCGGAACTATCAGAAGAACTGCTAGAACTTTTGGATCTGGAGACAAGGACTCCAATAACACTTTTGATACACCATCCCTAATAACACAATAACATCTGTAAGACGTCGTAGAAACATCCATATGGGATGATAGGAACATCTCTGGAAAATCCCTATTTTCCTAGGGACATTCTTGGGATGTTGCTGGCAACACCCGTGTCAGCATTTGCGATGTCTTATAAACATCCCATCAGAATGTTTGTGGGATGATACGGGATGTACCAGAGACATTCAGAGTACTTGATATGGACCATCTTGAAGAAACTTTTATATAGGATGTTTTTTGTTTGATGACAGTAATGGATGACAAGGTATGAATTATTTTCAATCTGAAATCCTGAAAATAGCTGACCTATTTCCAGATATCAAGTAACAATCCGAATCCGAAAATATAAGGTCGGTGCGGTCCAATAACTAATGGAAGATGATAACAGTTGTTTGAGGCTCATATTTGTTGGCGCTGGGCCGACGGCTGTTAGTAACTCTTAGCAACGTAGTTGTACCGCCATCTATCGGCTGGTATAACAAATAAATTCAGCAATAAATATGCTGAAGAGATATATTTTGATTTTGTCGTTTATTACATGGTTCATGAAGTTAAGCAGGTACTTTGGTAATCTTATTGAGGAATATTTAGTGTAATTATTTCAATTTGTTATCGATGAAATTAGCCGGCTTTGGTATAGGTATAAGTATATATGTACGAATACAGTTTTGATTTCCATTTTTTATCAACTTTTCAATGTTTTAAATGTCACAATTGTTTGAACTGTTCAATCATGTCAATCATCATTAGCAGATATGGAACCATGATATTGTTTATAAAAAAAGATCAAATGGGATGTTTCTATAACATCCAATGAAAACATCTGATGAATGTCCCAAGAGAAAAATCTCTGGGATATCGTACCTAAGTCTGAAACATTGAGACATTTGTAGGACCTTAGCGGGATGTACCAGCAAGATCCCGTATTGTTAGGGATTTTCCATTTTACATTAGTTTTCGCCAATTCTGAGCTTCTAATTGAAAAAATCCCCATCAAATCACGGAAAGAAAAATAAATAAAGGAGCGAACAATTGTGATTGTTATGCCAAATAACTGCGTTTTATTTTTCAACACTGATTACTCCAACAATTCGATGCATCAGAGAGTGACGTCCCTTTCATCAATGATGAAAATGTGTTGTGAAAAAGAACATGCCTCTAGTCTTTCAGAGAGTTGGCATCATAATATGGAAAAACATTTAATTATAATTCATTCTGAAATTCGACTTGTGTCTTGAGTTTTGCTTTAACCTATTTGACTGGAGTCATGTGAATTTTGCTACATGTCAAAGATTACATTTTTTTAAATTAATCGGTGAAAATAGGCTGATTTGTTCGAATTTCAAAAAAGCTTACTGAGAAAAGTTGTTTATATGCTAAATTTACACATGTGTCAAATTTGAACGTTCCATTGTAAATTTCAGATTTTGATATTTATTATTTGCTACGAAATTGCATTGAAAAAATTGCATCTTCGACAAAACCGTTTCATACCACTAGCTTTATCATGCTACTAACCTTCAATTACGAATTATCGACACAAATATAATTTTCTTCAGAAAATAATATTCTTGCTTCAAATTTCTGTTATGTTTGATGCAAAGTTGATGTATCTTCAAGAATTTACGAGCGAAATTTATTTTTCCAGTACTAGAAAGATGCCAAAGTCCTCAATCAGAATATCATAGAACTACTTACACATATTCAAGCAAAGTTTAGGACAATTTTGACGAAGTTTATATCACATGAATTCAATAATTGAATAGAAACAACTTTTCTTTGTAAACGTTTATGCAATTGGAACAAATAAGCCTTTTTTCAGCGATTAGTTTGAAAACATTCAACAAGTAATGAAAGTCACGTGATCCCGGCCAAATAGATAATTTTTCATCTTTTCCGAAGCAAAACATAACGCCCAAGTCGAATTTCAAAAGAAATAATCAAAAGTTTGTTCCATATGATGCCAACTCTCTAAAAGACACTGTATAATATAATAGGTAACATCCATTTCAATGCCATTCAGAAACGAGCCAGTAACCTGGTTGGTGATGCCATACTCACTAATTCCTCAACATTATTGGAATATTTTTCAATTTTTTGTGCTGCAAAATATAAGCAAAGTTTTGGACAGTTTTGACGAAGTTAATATCACATAAATTCAATAATTGAATAGAAACAACTTTTCTTTCTAAAAGTTCATGCAATTGGAACAAATAAGCCTTTTTTCAGCGATTGATTTGAAAACATTTAACGTAATGAAAGTCACGTGATTCCGGCCAAATAGCTAATTTTTCATCTTTTCCGAAGCAAAACTTTACGCCCAAGTCGAATTTCAAAAGAAATAATCAAAAGTTTTTTCCATATGATGCCAACTCTCTGAGAGACACTGTATAATATAATAGGTAATATCAATTTCAATGCCATTCAGAAACGAGCCAGTTGCCTGGTTGGTGATGCCATACTCACTAATTCCTCAACATTATTGGAATACCTTTCACTTTTTTGTGCTGCAAAATATAAGATAAAAAGAAATCGTACAATCATTTCAGACAAAAGAGAAATCCGAGGACGCTGCTAACCTGATGACGAGCTTCATCAAGAAACTCCTGTTGATAATATCGCGCCCGGCTCGATTGTTGGAATGTCTGGAATTCGATCCCGAAGAGTTCTACCATTTCCTGGAAGCGGCCGAAGGCCAAGTCAGGGGCGTCCAGGGCATCAAGGCTGACATTCCTCAGTACATCATCCAGAAACTCGGGCTCAACAGGTGATTCTCTTCTTTCAGAAACTCCATTATTATTTTCATTTATAAAAGAAAAAACGATAGGCACAAAGGCGGTCGACCACAAAAACGACCAACTTTGTGCCTTTCATTGGTTTTTCTTTTGAAAATTAATTGATCAGAATTCTGTATCTTGAACCACCATGTATTTGTTCCAATTAAATGTCAGTAGATAATAAATCAAAAGTTAAGATAGGGACATTAAAGCCGTTTTGACCGATCATTAATAGTTTTCACACATAAAAAATCTAAAGTTGAAAAATCTCGATTTTGAACACCCTATATCTCTGTAATTATTCCTGCTAGACCCCCAAGTGTGATATATTGATGAAATCAACTCTTCAGGAAGAATCTAAAAGTGCAATGTAGTACAGGATGTTTCATTTGAAATATCAAAGTTGATGATATTTCCTAATAGAAGCGGCAACGCCGCATCGTTTAACATATTTTAGACATGTAGATCATGTCAATTTATATATATACCGTCAAATTTCCAGATTCATTTGTTGCTTGGTTTGCCAGATCTGTATAGAATTAATAAATATACGGGGTTTTCAAACTTGAGTCGGCACTATTGCTAACTTGGTTATTATTGCTGGTACAAAGTCGGTGAAATGGACAAACTACTAGTATTTTTTCTTCTCATTACGATGATGTAATCAAAAAAAAATCGAACATCGCGTCAAAACGCAATTCGAAACACTATGGGATGGAGTGACAAGTGGAGGCTAAAACCAAATCCAGAAAAATCCCAACTGATACTCTTCAATAAAAAAATATCAGATGATTCACCCACGGTAACTGCGAACAATCATGAAGTGAGAAGTAGAGCATTAGTTAAATATCTGGTAGTGCACTTAGATCAAAAACTAAACTTCAACCATCATACCTAGTTGATGAGAAAAAAGTGAATAACAATGGCGAAACATTTTCGAAGCACAACTTACAAGAATAAAGGAATTAGCAAAAGAACTGCAGCACATATTTACAAAACCATTTGCCGCCCAATTCTTGAGTATACTCGACCAATATAAACACTAGGAATACGGCACTGAACAATTTGGGAGTAGCAGAAAGAGCTAGCCTGAGAGCCATTACCAAAATTCGGCACCCTCAAAATCCCCTTCACCATCCATCAAACGAACTTCTATATTGACTGACCAGGGTGCAACCAATTTCTGAAAGACTGAAAAGGCTAACCTTGAAGTTTTTCAAAAACAAATCCAATCTCCAAATTATCCAATTCCAGTGTTTACAGAGAGATCTAAGAGTGAATCCGAGCCGGAAGTTCTTCTTTTTTTCTTTTTTTTTCTCTTTTTTACACTAGCAAATTTAATAATTCCATATATCTTGTACATACAATAATGATGAATTTAAACCCAATGTATAATCACTGTGTAACACGGGCTGAAGGACCTCGGTCGGTGGTCTTCTGGGTATCCAATAAAGCTCCGTAATTATTATTATCATTAATAGTTTCGACACAAAAAAAAATAAAGTTGAAAAATCTCTATTTTAAACACCCTATGTCTCTGTAATCATTTCCACTAGACCCCCAAGTGTGATATTTTGAAATCAGCTCTTCAGGGAGAATCTAAAAATGCAATGAAATACAGGATGTTCCATTTGAAATATCAAAGTTGATGATATTTTCTGGTAGAAGCGGCAACGCCGCATCATTTAAAATATTTTAGACGTGTAGATCATGTCAATTCATATATACCGTCGAATTTCCAGATTCTTCTGTTGCTTGGTTTACCAGAACTGTCTAGAATCAATAAATATACAGGTTTTTCAAAATGAGTCGGCACTATCGCTAACTTGGTTATTATTGGTGGTACAAAGTCGGTCAAATGGACAAACTAGTAGTATTTTTTCTGCTGATTGAGATGATGTTATCAAAAGTTGTCAAAACGCAATTCGAAACACTATGAGATGGTGTGACAAGTGGAGGCTAAAACCAATCCAGAAAAATCTCAACTGATACTCTTCAATAAAAAAATATCAGATGATTCTCCCACGGTAACTATGAACAATCATGAAGTGATAACTAGGGCATTAGTTAAATATCTGGGAGTGCACTTAAATCAAAAACTCAACTTTAACCATCATACCCAGTTGATGAAAAAAAAGTGCATCACAAGAGCTAAACATTTTTGAAGCCTAACTGACAAGAATAAAGGAATTAGCAAGAGAACCGCAGCACATGTTTACAAAACCATTTGCCGCCCAATTCTTGAGTATGCTCAACCAACATATACATGAACACTCGGAAGACGGTACTGAACAATTTGGGAGTAGCAGAAAGTGCTATCCTGAGAGCCATTACCAAAATCCGTCACCAACAAAATCCCCTTCATCATCCATCAAACGAACTTCTATATCGGCTGACCAGGGTACAACCAATTTCTGAGAGACTGAAAAAGCTAACCTTGAAGTTTTCCAGAAACGAATCCAGTCTCAAAATTATACAATTCCAGTGTTTACAGAGAGATCCAACAGTGAACTCAAGACGGAAGTTTCCGGAAAACACACTATTTGAATGCTTAATCAATTCAGAAGACGAATTTCAACATTCTTGCCTCACAAAAGACTTTTCTTCGTTTTTTCTTTTTTCTTTCGTTCTTCTTTACACTAGCAAATTCAATAATTCCAGATAACTTACATACAATAATGATGAATTTAAACTCAATGTATAATAACTGTGTAACACAGGCTGAAGGACCTCGGTCGGTGGCCTTATGGGTATCCAATAAAGCTCCCTAATTATTATTATTATTAATAGTTTCGACACATAAAAAAAAGTTGAAAAATCTCTATTTTGAACACCCTACATCTCTGTAATCATTGCTGCTAGACCCCAAGTGTGATACATTGATGAAATCAGCTCTTCAGGGAGAATCTAAAAATGCAATGAAATACAGGATGTTCCATTTGAAATATCAGAGTTGATGATATTTTCTAGTAAAAGCTGCAACGCCGCATTTTAGACGTGTAGATCATGTCAATTTATATATACTGTCAACTTTCCAGATCCATCTGTTGCTTGGTTTGCCAGAACTGTAGAGAATTAATAAATATACAGGGTTTTCAAACTCGAGTCGGCACTGTTGCTAACGTTGTTATTATTGGTGATACAAAGTCGGTCAGATGGACAAACTAGCAATATTTGTTCTGCTGATTACGATGATGTAATCGTTTACGAGTAATGTCGAAAGGTAAATTTTTTCGGACACCCAGTATTCAATATGCTTAATCGATAGGAAATTCGATACTAAACAAAAAATATTCTATAATTCGTAAATTCGAAAATCACTAAGCTATCGACGAGTTATCAAATTCGTCAATGTGATTGTGTTACTCGAGGATGGTCAAGGTATTACTTATGGTAGCTACCCCACCATGAAATCGTCTATAGCTTAGTCATTTTTGAATTTACGTTAATTACGTTTATTAGTCAGCTCTTGTTTATAATCGAAATTCCTATCGATTGAGAATATTGTGTACTGGGAAAAATTGCATTTTCCGAAATAACTCGTAAACGCCATGTTAGATTTTTGTTTCGTTTTCATAATCATGATCAGCGGGAAAATATTACTTTGTAACTCAAAGTTGACAATAGGGCCGACTTCGGTTAGAAAACCCTGTATAAGGATGGTTCATCGTGTAAGAGTAAATAATCGAGAATATGTGATGAATGGACGAGTTCAGCAATTCATTGCCAACCTTGAAAATAGCTAAAAACGTCTACTACTGAAAACAGATTATTTTCATAAAATATTGATACCATTTTCGTCTTTATCGATTGTATCATCCAGGAAGTCCCTGGCGTCCGAATATCTGGAAATTATAAAAACTTTGATATCAATTTTGAGGTTATTTCAGTTATCATATTGGCAGCCTGTAAGATGAATGACACATTTTTATTTAAGTTTAATTCAAAACGAAACTATTTGAAAAAAAACATTCAAGAATTCAAGTAGGTAATGAGTAGTTGAGTGGTGACATTTTGGAAAAAAGGGTAATGAAATTATTTTGCAAATTTGGTTATTTTTATGATGATCTGTCCTTTATTCTCTAATAATGGCTCAATATAATATTTACACGGGTACACAAGTACTTCTCGAATGTAATGTCTGAATCTTAGATAAACTACACTAAATGAAAATTATGAAAATTCTTGAAGGGGGCACAGAACATCACGACATACAACAAAAATGAGTGTCATTTCTTATAGGCAGCCAATGATGAACTGAAATTACCTCAAAATCAGTTGACATCAGAGTTTTGATAGTTCCCCCCGATTCGAGAGTCGGGGACTTCCTGCAGTGGGACTCTGTAACTCGTTTCACAAAGCAGAAACATAGTAAATGAAAACCGACGCTAAAGCGTATGCCTTGTTTTAACCTACTCTGTATCAAGTTCGTTACGCTACGTTATGTTTTCGCAATCGTCGTACGACTTCATACGAAATAAAACGATGTTGATGCAGTTAAATTAGGCAACATTGTTGCGAATTTCATTTATTAAAAAAAAACATCCCATTGGATCAAAACCGAGGCATTTACGAATTATTGTCTAGTTCAAAAGTTAAATCAAAATTTAATGACCACAAGTATTGACAGGGCCAACAAGAACTTATATGTACTTTTTTCATATTAAAAATTGGGTATTTATATTGTCACTATTTCTTTATATTTATATGCTTCTGGTGAAGACAAAGGATCTGAGAATTACCTAAATGTTAGATACCTAACTGTTTATAAGTATAATGGACATATCACACTCAGTATGTTAATATTCACATATTATAATGTAATGTCAGAACTTGCTCTACTATGCAGAAAATTAAACAAGATGATAAGAACATATTATTCTTCAAATCGCCTTCTGCAAGGGATCTCCTATGTTGACAGTGTATTTCTGCAGATCCACTTTTCCTCACAGTTCACTTTAAAATCTTGGATCGAATTGTTAATGTATTGAAAGTAGAATCCGTTTTTGTAACCACAACATAGTGAATAAAGTTTAGTTAACCCTGTTCCATCGAAATTACTATTGTTCCTCCCTTGGTACACAACAATATTCCATAGTTTTTCTTAGGTGTCTCCAAGGTTTTTGATATCCAAATTAGTTCCTTTCAATGCACTTATTATGCAAATTTTCCAAATATGAAGCTTTGGTAAATTAGTTTACATTCTCTTTCTGTTATGTTTCACTGTAGGTATCAGCATATTATTAGTGGAAATCTTCAATTATTGTCTCCTTCAATGGACTCACAAAGACATATTTTTCCCATGAAACAAGGATTCAGTGAGGTAGCAGTAATGACACATTTCATTTTTTGGAGGAGCGACTGTTTAGATGTTTCAGGAATCTGAGAGGAAAGGATAATTCCAATAAATATAAATTATTCCAGACCCTATTCACAGCGTGTACAATATACCCACTATTTGACAGTTTTCAGTTGATATCTCAACTATTATATGGGCTGTGTTTTCATCCCACAGTCTTATCATATTTTTCATCTCACGCCTCACAGACTTTCATCCCCTACCTTGATCCTACCAAAGAGAACTTCCTGCCATCTCTCTGGAATATATTTGAGATTTTTTTTCGTAAAACTGAGGAATCTGTCCCATTGACTGGGTTGTATTTTTGCTCGCTTAGTTATCCATGTTCGAGATCATTCCTCAATTATTATTTTTCTCATATCCACACAAAGTTCAAACAGGAACAACACCATAAACTAATACTTAACCCCAATAATACAACAGAATCGCTGAAAGAGCCCACCAAGATCCTTTGCTTACGAACTCACGTTCGGCGTCTCCGGTCTCATCCGAATATTGATACAGAGTACCGAAACGGAAAAAGCAGTCGATTACGCATGCTTCCGCTTTCGCTTTGAGTTACAGTGTCCCACTTCTGGATGATACAAAAATCGACAAGGAAAAAAATTGCATCAATATTTCATGAAAATAACCTGTTTCTAGTGGTAGAAGTTTTTAGCTATTTTCAAGGTTGGCAACGAATTGCTGAACTCGTCCCTTGCAATTATACAACATCAAAAACAAAAGTCCACACAAACAGAACAGCATAAAAATCTCCGGTTTCCTTCGGCAGAGACCCGATCGCCGAGCTGCAGCAAGAGCTGCGGGACTGCACGTCTTGGTCGAAGGAGAACGCGAAGCCCTGCCCGCCGCCGGTCAGGAAGGCCCTCTCGGACCCCAGCGAGCACGACTTCGAGGTGGTCAAGCTGATATCGAACGGGGCCTACGGGGCCGTCTATCTGGTCAAGCACAAGCACACGAAGTTGCGGCTCGCCATGAAGAAGATCAACAAGAACAACCTGATGCTGCGCAACCAAGTCGAACAGGTGATGATTTATTCATGTATTTATTATGGGGAGTAATAACCAATTACCATAGGCAAGAACACAAATGTGTTAGTTCAATTTACTGACATAACATGAATGCATCGATTTTCTGATGAAATATGCTTTGATACTTCAAAAAACACCATAGACATACAAGAAGAGGAGGAGACATAACATTTCATTCATAAAACAATATTAGTTTACAATCATATAGACTTCCAAAGTTTCAAATAAGTTAGATAGAGATGCATTTAAAAAATGGCAACGCTGTAAACTCTGCGGCAATTTATCTGGTCAAGCACAAGCACACGAAGTTGCGCCTCGCCATGAAGAAGATCAACAAAAACAACCTGATGCTGCGCAACCAAGTGGAACAGGTGATGATTTATTCATGTATTCATCATGGGGAGTAATAACCATTTATCATAAGCAAGCACACAAATGTGTGAGTTCAATTTAAATGTGTATATAATTGAAATATAGTGACATAACATCGATTTTCTGCTGAAATATGCTTTGATACTTCAAACAACACCATAGACATATAAAAAGAGGGATGACATCATTTTTTCCCGCGGTCCAAATTGAGCTTATTGTTTTGAGCGCGCTAGTGTTAGACACTGCTGGTCCGAATTGGTTTGCACGCTTTGACGACTATTTATTTATTTATTTATTACATAGGTTACCCAACAGAGTATTGAAACTCCAATCATAGGGTTACACATTTTACATTATATAGAGTGTACACTTGATGAGAATAGTTAAACAAACCAATAAAAGAAAATTAAAATCCTATATATAGGTATGTAGCGCTCTTAATGGGGCAATAGTGATACTTTCTCTTCATAATAACCAACATAATTATATAATGATAATGTTAATATAGAAAAACGAAGCAAGAAAAGAAAGAAAAAAAAAAAGTTTAACTAGGTGAAGTATACATACATGCTTATATTTTGATTTGTAGCTTCCTTTCTGACTTAATAGATGGTGCTGCTGAATAGGTCAATGTGGCTGAAGTATGAGTTGTACGAGTTCTGAGTCATGTAGAGAGGTGAATTTGTTGCATAGTTGGTTGTGAGAGATGTTAGGTAAAATAAGTTAGGTGCGCGAGTGACGTGAGTGAGAGCATTGAACGAGAGCCTATTGACTATATAATTACTGTCTATTTTGTTGTTTATGATTTTGAAAAGGAATAGTACATAACTTACGATTCTACGAGAAGAGAGTTTAGAGAGTTTGAAATGTTCTAATCGACTTTCATATGATAAATATATTAGGGGTCTTTTGAACTTGAGAAACAATAAATTAATGAATCTTTTCTGAACTCTTTCTATTCGTTGAATGTATTTATGGTAACAAGGGTTCCATACTATCGAGGCAAATTCGAGAAGACCCCTCACAAGGGAGTTATATAACATAATGAATGTCTTTGGATTCGTGAATGGCTTAGATATTCTTGTGATGAATCCCAAGTTTATCAGAGCTTTCTTCACTATTTTTTCAATGTGAACTTCAAAGGTTAGTTTTGAGTCTATCATCACCCCCAGGTCTTTGATGCATTCTACTTTGTCCAGTACATCATCATAAATTTTGTAGGGAAATTGAAATTCCTTAGTTAGTCGAGAAAATTTGATGTAATGACATTTGCTTGTATTTAAATATAAATGATGTGTGACACAGTAGTCTCCTGAATTGTCTATATCTTTTTGGAGTAATTGGCTGTCTATTGAACAGAATTGTGAGCGCGCTTATGAAATCCGTTACATAACCTCACATGAAAATTCATTCCTTGACCAACAGAAATCAAAGTTCATGGAAAAATGTAGAAACTTTTTATTGACACAGTGATGACGATACCGTTATCGGAATAATATTTCTTCGTCAAGTACTGATGATGAGGAAGTTGTTGTAGGTACTTACCTTATTTTGATCATTCAGTGGAATTTGAACAGAAGAAACAACGTTTCTTACAATAATTTAGTTAGTTAAATAACCTGTGAACTACGCCACTGCTCAAGTTGATAGATACATATAACTTTGGTTTGTATTGTGAATTTTTCCACAATCCACGCACTGGCGAACCATAATAGACTTAATAATTGTCTTCATATAGTTTCATAACGAGAAAACACTGACAATCAATTGAACCACAAAGAGTTCTGAAATGGTAACAAACACAGCACATCAACACTGCAACATCGGATATTGACATATGTGAATGACTAAGAAAATTATACGTAACCCGTAACATATTTCAATTGAGGAACAAACTTACAGAATTAATATACATAAAAAATTATATTATACAGGGTGGCCCATCGAAAACGTACCGCAAGGCATCACAGGCTGGGAAAGAACTTTTCGATAAAACCCGAGAACAGGTCAAGTTTTTTTTGTCAGGGGGACACATTCCGACGTAACAAGCATAGTAAAACCTTCAACCCCCTAAGTAGGGGTGTCACGCCAACATTTTTTCAAATGGGAAGGGTGGTCAAGCGATACCTCTTTAGAAGGGGCTTGTCATTCTCTATACAATGCTGCTTAGATTTTTCAAATCGATCTACTCTCAGAAAATATGGAGCTTTGAAACTCCAACCATCATGTGGGACGAACAATTTTTCCAGAGGCATGTTTGTCAGGATGCCGTTAGTTAAACAACTCCGCGACCCGATTTCGACCAGAATCAGAAACTGATCCCTCAGTCTTAAACTCTTAGAAGTGTTGAGAAGTCAGTTCGCTCAAAATACTTGCAAAATAGTCGCAAATCTTCGGAATTCGCGCAAATCCTCACAAATGTCCCATTACCCCACGATTTTGTTTCATCTCTTGGAGCGCACGAATGGAAATTCCTATATGTTCGTGGAACATCTACGTACCTTGGAAATATAGGGAGAGGAGGTAGGTGTTGGATTTATTTTTGAACTTTTGGAGGTTATAAGTTCTTGGGCATATTTCTATTGGCAAAGAATTCCAAAGCTTCGCCGTTCTATAGGCGACTGAGATTAAGATCGTAGCGCCAGAACGGCGAATGTCGGTACTACTCTATGGGCCATTGGCGGATTGTTTACATTGTTTGGTAATGGTGTTTATGTTCATTTCGTTTTGAGTTTTCAAACGTCCAGCTTTGTTATTTGTCTATTTTCGAACTTTGTATTTTCCAGCGGTCTACTGTGTTTTGATTGAGGACTATATTATCTCTGTTCAACATTAGATAACCTCCCTACCTCTAGTTGAACTTCATGTATACCAACATCATTTTTATCATTATTGAACAAGAATTCTCATGAAAACCTGTGTGGGATGTTGATTTCCAATTCGAATATATAGCTGGGATATTCCCCTGATAGTGCATGATATTTTTAAAACAAAATCCAGCAAACTTTTTGGGAATAAAGTGTTCTTTGGAAGGTGAATTTAGGTAAACAGTTTCTACTTGACTTTTTACAACATAATCATCGAAACCCTGATTGATAACATTCCTTACTGTTTAAAAATTCTACTGTTCATGAGTAAAGATATAATCAGTTTGAAATTTGTTTGTTCTTTTATCGCCACCTCAAGAAGTAGGTATTATATTCATAATAGACATACATTTGAAAATATACCTATAGGTATGAGTACATTTTCAGTGAAGTGTAAAGAACAATATCTCATTATGTTCAGACACTTCACACACTTTTTCCAATCTTCAAGTTATGAATCCACACCTTTCTCAATACAATACAATACAAATTTAGACTGTCCTGATTTTTGAAAGGAATGAAAGCTATACTCGGGATTTTTTTGCTCAAGATGAACAATGAGGTACACAACAATGATGACTCATGTTTTTAAACGTTTATATAAGTTCTCAAACAAAATTATAGACAATTAAAACACAACTACTTCTCATACAAAATACACGCAAACTAATGTAAACAAAGCAATCAATGGCCCATACGTTAGTTATATTAGACAACGGTAGAGAGAGTACTCCTTAGCATGAATCGCCTATAGATTACTGAGTTTTGGTAGATTACTTCGCAGCGTTGAAAAAGCTCACTAATTGGGTAATGGGAAAGTTTCTTTCAGATGAGTTTTCATCAAATCAGATTCACACTTATTCGGATTATGATTCTGCAATCTATAATAACAATTGGAATAATTCAAATAATTTCCATTTTCGGGCAAGCAATTGAGAAATATTTTGGCAGAAAACGTAAACTGTGAGATACAAATCTCCGAACAAGTCCGAACTGAAAATGAAGAAAAAAATACAGTTTCATTTTTTCAAAAGGCTTACTTATGATGATTACGAGTATATACTGAAAAAGAATCGTATTGAAAAAGAAAGAAAATGAAATTATTACAATTATGACGAACTAATCAGTTTATAGAGATAAAATTCAACAACCAAAGCAAGTAGCTCAACAAGCGCGAATACAACAAAAACAGCGCATATAAGATGTATTGGGTTGAAACTGGTTTTGGGCGCGGTTGCACGGAATAATTCAGTGAACTTTCGAAAACAATAAAAAATCCACTGCCCTTCTCCAGGTTTTCGCCGAACGGGACATCCTCAGCTTCGCCGACAACCCGTTCGTCGTGAGCATGCACTGCAGCTTCGAGACCAAGCGGCACCTCTGCCTCGTGATGGAGTACGTCGAGGGCGGCGACTGCGCTAGTTTGCTCAAGAGCATCGGCCCTCTGCCGGCCGACATGGCGAGGTTCTACTTCGCAGAGACCGTGCTAGCGGTGGAGTACCTGCACTCGTACGGGATCGTGCACAGGGACCTGAAGCCGGACAAGTAAGCGGGTTGGAACTGATTCGATCTAGGGTGAATTTATGTACAGGGTGCTATTCAAGTATGTGGCCAAACTTCAAGGGGCGATTATTTGGGTGATACAAAAACGAAAAGTTCATATAAACATAGGTCCTAAAATGTTTCGTTTTCAATTTTATTTTATCACTTGAAGCGCACGAAAGGAAATCCCTATAATGTTCAAAGAACATCGTGGGTTCCTAGGGAGGATAGGGACAGGAGGTAGGTATTGGAATTTTATTTGAACTTCTGGAGATTGTTGTTGGGAATACTTCCTCAGGCAATGAATTCCAGAGCCTAGCCGATCTATGGATGAAGGAGTTCTGATAAAGTGCTGTCATCTTTCGAGGTTGACAACGAAAGGATGTGCTGACTGGGCTTGTCTAGTTCGTCTGACTGGTATTGCTAGTGATGGGATGATAGCAGAGATTTCCGAAGAACATTTCCCGTGGAAGTATCGATAGAAAAGTGAAAGGTTGCCAACCTTCCTACGGTGTTCCAATGATGTCAAAGAGTAAGGGAGTGTGGCTTCACCCACCAAGCGAATGGCTCTTCTCTGGATGGAATCAAGGAACATCAGCGTATGTTTTGGTGCTGAACCCCATATGTGGGAACAGTATGCTAGAACAGGCCGTATCTGCGCTTTGTAGATCATGAGAAGGTGTGAAGTAGCTTTTCGCACGGAACAAGAATCCGAGTTTTTGTGAAGTAGCTTTTGCGATGGATCTGATTAAGATACAGAGAAGTGCACAAAAATCGGCCAGGACTGTAAGTTTTGAATCATTCTAGATAGGGTTTTGAAAATTGGTCGGTAGCAAGTATACCAGATTGCTCATTAATTGATGAAACACTTTTTCTTCTATCACTTCCAGTTTCCCCGGGAACGACACCCACTTTTGATTCATAAATGGGACACCCTGTATTGTATTCCATAATCGGTTAGGGATTATCATGACGAATTCAACGATTCAACAATTGAATGGGTTATTTCAAACGATTCCAAATGTATTTGCGTTCGAAGTTTCCATATGCTCAGTTGGTGTGACTTCGCAATATCAAAACTTCTTTCTCTGTCACACTCATTGAGCATATAGAAACTTAGAACGCGAATATCTGCGTAATCGTTTAAAATAACCTTATCAAACCCAGTATCGATGAATTCGTTATGACAATCCCTATCCGATTATGGAATACAATACAGGGTGTCCCATTTAAAAATCAAAAGTTGAGGTCGTTTCCAGTGAAACCGGAAGTGATAGAACAAAAATAGTTTCTTCAATCAATGAGCAATTTGGTATACTAGCTACCCACCAATTTTCGAAACTCTATCTCGAATAATTCAAAACTTATAGTCCTGGCCGTTTCTTGTGCACTTCTCTGTATAGGGTGTTGAAGTTGAAAGTATTGATTGTGTTTTTCATGATTACCCTGTATAAGCTTTCATGATGGCAAAATTTAGTCTGATTGGTGACTGGAAGTCTCAAAATTTTCGAATAATACTCATTGAGCTTATTGGGTAATTCCAATGGGTGATTTGAGGGCACCTATATTCGTGTTTTGAGACAAATAATTTTTTTATTGTTTCCTCAGAAATTGAGAAATATATATAAAAATGTAATAGAGGACAAGAAAGTTGTATTTTCGATTATTTAATCTGATGGAAATATCGAACTTGGAAATAACTATGGTGTAGGTGCCTTATTTACCATACATATCGAAAAGTTGACCCAGTGCGACGCCTCTGGAATCATTACTTCGAATGTAATTACACCAAAAGAAGCTTCTTGATACTGTTAACAAAATCATCAAGTCTCATTAAAATTGAAAAACATAATTTTCAGTAATTGAAAAAAAAACGATTTTATATCGAAACTTTGATACCCTGTATCATGAAAACGAATCATTTCCGGCCCTATGTTTACATGAACTTTTCGTCTTAAAATCACCCACATAATCACCCCTTGAAGTTTGGCTACATACTTAAATAACACCCTGTATAGAGAGACGACCTGAGTTGTACACTTTTTGATTGGTCAGACCTTTAGTATATGAAGGTGCATCTACCTGTCTTGTTTTCTCCATTCAATTCTACGCATTCTATCACACTTTGTCAATACTTTGTCTTTGTTTTTTGCACTTTGGACACAAAACATCCAACAACCAGACATGAAACTCTATATGTCAGTACCTTAAATAAGAACTATTTGAATCCGTCTTTTGGGACTTACATAGTCCCAAAACACTGAATTCTGAGACTTACATCAGATTATTCAGATGATCAAATAAAAATATCAAATATCTAAACCTAGCATCAGGTGGACACTTCTAAGGCGCAAATTCATTAATGCATGGGAGATACCCTTCAAATTTTTAGCTATTCAGTGACTAGACATTTCGGAAATAGCAGCCATTTGGATGTCTATTGTCGTCACTATTTATAAAGTCACTCTAGTTTGATCTAGGATTACTAGATTAAATAGAGTGACGACAATAGACCTCCAAATGGCTGCCGTTTCCGGAATGTCATTCTTGGTCAAGGAACTGAATAGCTAAACATCTGAAGGGTATTTGAACATGAACACAGGCGTGACAATAACCTCAACGTACTAGGAATATCCACCTGACTAATTAACTGTCACGTTTCCAAAAATATAGATAGAACATATAATTGGCATGATGAAACCAGTGCAGGTATCATTTGATAATTTTACTCGTTCAATCATTCAATCGTTAACCCCTGATGTGCCCGAACCGGCAGAGTTCGGGACAGAACAAAAGATGCTCTTCGTCAAGGCTCTCAGCAATATTAGCTTTCTATAATATAGGTACATATAGGGTAAGTTAAGTTTTCATTAATTTATATTCATTGCCAAAAATAAATGTCTGTATATGTGTTGTTGGAAACCCTTTTGAGTATCATTTATTATCCTAACTTTCTTAAGTTCATTCTCTAACAGATCTATAGAGCACAACTTAGGCAACCCCTGCCTTCAGTTTGTGACAATATCTTCATTTCATCATCTGAATAATCTGAGAATTACGAGTTTCAAAAGACGGATTCTAATAGTTTCAAGGTTCTGATGTATAATAATAATAATCTTTTTATTGCGAAACGATCAACATGGACACAGCAAACGTCAGGGGTTACAGAACAATCTTAGCTACCTGTAGCATTTACATAATCTGTTTAAAATTACATTAAATACAATTTAAAAATACATAATTTCCTACATAGCATTTACATCATCTGTTTAAAATTACATTTTATATATATTATATAGAGGTTAATGTCTGATTGTTGGATGTTTTGTACCCAAAGAACAAAAAACAGAGCCAAAGCATTGACAAGAATGCGTAGATCTGCTTGGAGAAAATTAGACAGGTGGATGCACCTCCATATTAAAGGTCTGACCAATCGAAAAGTGCACCACTATTGTCGTCACTCTATAATAATGTATAATATTATAATTATGATATATAAAAAATTTATAAATGTTTCGAAATGTTATAGAATGTTTTATGGCGCTCGAAACTGTTCACTTATGTTCCAGAATATTTTAGAATGTTCCAAGATGTTATAAAATGTTCCACAAGGTTCGCGCATGTTATAAAATGTTCCAGAATACTACCGAAAGGTTCGCGAATATTCCACTTGGTTCTTAAACCTTCTATAATGTTCTTTATTGTTCTTGAATGTTTCATGATGACCGATAATATTATAAAATTTTCCAAATGGTTCGAGAATGTTCTAGTCTATTTTAAAACCTTCCTAAATGTCGCATAGTGCTCGAGAATGTTTTGAGATGTTAGAGAATGTGTCATAATGTCCGAGAGTGCTTTAGATTTTTGAAGAAATTTCCGGTTTTCGGAACGTTTCATGAAATTAAGTCGTCACAGGCCCAATCGACTCCTCTCAGAGCAGTGTCAAAATCACATTCTTCCGTCGATCTCATATTACACAAATTCCGAATGGTTCGTTCACAGAAACAGAGTTATTAGTGATAAATCAATAATTATTGGAAAGCTAGGCCGAAATTCGTCGCACAACCTTACCTAACCTGACCATAAAAATATGCCTCATTTACACATTTGTAGATTTTTTTCAATTCCACAATTCAACTTCTGTTGTTTTCAGTTTGTTAATTACCGCCCTGGGTCATATCAAACTCACAGATTTCGGATTGAGTAAAGTCGGCCTCATGTCTTGTAAGTACTCACAGTAATTTTTTTAAATGTGAATACATCTAGACTGACCTGCAAAAAACCGACCGGGTAAAACTTTTGATTCTAGTACTCCAATCAGAATTTGAAAAAATAATAATGAACGCCCTTAATTTTTGCAGGTCATTGTTTAAATAGAAATACTCCATGTGATAAATTTTAGAACGCATATTTTTCTTTTTCCAGTGGCAACAAATTTATACGAAGGTTACATGGACACCGAATCGCGGAAGTTCTCGGACAAGCAAGTGTTCGGCACGCCCGAATACATCGCCCCCGAAGTCATCCTGAGGCAGGGGTACGGCAAGCCGGTCGATTGGTGGTCGATGGGCATAGTTCTGTACGAGTTTCTCGTCGGCTGCGTGCCGTTTTTCGGAGACACTCCCGAAGAACTCTTCGCCCATACCGTACAAGGTGGGTTGGTAGTTTGATGGACTGTATCTCTAATGACACGAATTTTATATGCGTAGCGTTGAAATGGCACTCACCTCGTGTGTTCACGATGCAAATCAAATCAAAATATACTTTATTATCGGAAGATTTTCATCTCATTGATAAATTCATGATGAATATAAAATAAATAATCAAATAAGTTTATATAAATAAATAGTATAGAGCAGGTACTATAGCATTGTCCCAATAGGCGTGTACACCTTAGTAGAACTTTCAACTCAAACCATGTTTATAATGATCCTTTTATACATAAATAACGATTGACGACATAATTCCATCTAAAAATCAACTGGAATGTTTTATTTTTGGACATAAATAATAGTACCTTCCGAAACCGGACCCCCTTTATGACGTAGAAACCTCATCTCGCCTGGAACCAATGAGCGTGACCCATAGAGTGACCAAAGGTGGATAGATCTATCCACCTTAGAGTGACCCATGTGTGACACTTATCACTGTTGCCATATCATCTAAACAAAATATCCGAGAGATCGAAATCGATATTGAAATATCTTTTGATATCAACTACCACTACTGCAGAAAAATATATTCAACTTGTCGATGGTAGGTTGAATCATTAGAATATAAACAATCTCTAAACAACGAAATGTCTCAATCTCAAAACCATTTGCACCATGACAATTTCACAATAATACAATATATTTCATGAATGCAGCAACATTGCTTTGTTGACCCGTTTCACATGGAGCTGCATTCGCATCGAGTCTCGAATTCCGATTCCGAAGTTATTTATGTCGTCTAAAATGAGAAGAGAAGACACTTAATGAAATTAACCTCCAAATCTTGCTTTATATCATATTAATACATATTATTGATATATTGAATATAAACATGAACGTTGAATCAGGATTTGTAAAAGGCTCATCAGATAATCTACCGAAAATTGATTTGGAAATGGTTAATTATTTGTATGTCTCTAAGCATACTAGAAAATCTCCACAGTTCCTCATTGCTGAAATGAGGAATAGAAAATCTGAAAGGTAAGTTCCACAATATTCATTCGATTTTCATTGCTTGTACCTATTATAGTTGCATTGGAAAATTGTTCACCTGAAAGGATATTTAACATCAGAATACCCATCATATGGAGATTCCGAGGGAGAATCCTCATTAAATCAGTCACTGATCGATATGTTTACCTATGCAACAATATGATCGATTGGTATGAAACAATGTTATTCCCAAGACTAGATACTGCTTGCATCTCCCCCTGAATGTTCTTCTAGGAGATGGATCATTCATTCTTCAAGCAATTTCCCTATGCATTTCTGCAAAGCAAAACTACTACCTACTATAATATTGTGTTTACTCAGTGAGGGGCGAGATTTGTTCTCAAAATTACCAGCTAAATGATGTTTTTTTAATTGCAAGGCACAGAACATTTCTCAATCATACTTTTGTCGAAATATTTCAATTTAATATTCGAAAGTTGCAGAAACTTAATATAGGTTAGAATTGATCTTCTTCTTGTTCTTATCATCTATGTCCCAAAAATCAACTTGCCGATTCACCAATCTTGGTGCTTTGTGAGAAATCATGTATCATTCATCGAAATAAAATTTTTTCCTGATATAAGCCCATTATAATAAATACATATTCACGTAAACACAAGAAAAAAATAAAAGAGAACAGACAGATACAAAATGAATTGAGCATTAGAATACAATTCCAAAATGTTAAAATAGACATATATTTTAACTATTCCAATCTTTCTCAAGAAACTCTTGAACATTATAAAAAACCTCATCGATAAGTAAGCGCTTGACAGATCTCCTGAAATGAGACGGCAAAACTATGTTTTTGAAGGCGGGAGGGAGGTGATTGTATAGTTTAATCGCAGAGAGTTTTTCGTTAAATTTGAAGACGGAATAGGTAATCGCAAATTGTTACTTTGTCTAGTGATACCAACTGTTACCTCGTATGATGATTTGTTTTTATGTACTAGACACACTGTTTCGAAAATAAATAACGACGGATGGGTGAGGATTTTTATTTGACGGAACAGCGGTTTACAAGATACTCTTGGCCCAACTTTGCAAAGGTATCGGACAGCACGCTTTTGAAGAACAAATACACTATTGAAGTTTTGTTGGTTGCAGATACCCCAGAAAGGTATTCCATACCTGATATGTGATTCTATCAGAGCGTGGTATACTACCTTCGCAGTGGCTATACCCAGTTCTTTCGCCACCATTCGCAAAGCATAACACCCACGTGCTAGTTTGCAACAAGGCGTTTCTAGCTAACTTCACTGATAGCAGCAGCGTCACTTGTTATACATGAAGAACTCGCGTAATCTTGCGCGATAATATAAATAATCATAAAAATTATCGAATTTGTAGCGGTAAAAATGTCATTGGCTTGACTGATAGCGTGAGAGTCCCGTACCACCTCTCTAGGTGCCTTCAGTTCTTCTTCTTGCCTGTAGAGGCGCACTTGTACCAATTCAACCAATGAACTCAATAATATAAACACCTGGAAGGGAGACTGCCGGTTTCTCGAATAGCACAGAGTGGGTCAGGGGCAGCTGCAACTAAGATAGCTTGTGTTACGGTAACCTGTCTCTTTCACACTCGTGTTGTTTAACGGCGGATTGGTGTGTAAACTCTCTTTTATCTAATGATTGGAGTACTTGAGATCTTTTTTTTTTTTTTTTCATCTAAACAGGCAAAAAAGTGTGGACAGAACTTCATTGTTTTTTGTTATGTAAAATATTGCTAAATTTGGCGTGTTTTGTTTCTTCAAAATGACTGAATTTGTTGGTGTGAATTGATTATTGTTGAAAAGATTTGTGATTTCGAATTAATAAACAATGATTATTTATATTGTGTTGCCTTTGGATGCAAAACAAGCAAGACAAAAGGAAATTGTTCTCCATGAGTAAGTTGAAAATTTTTCAGATTCTTAGAAAAACTATATAGAAATTTATTTTCAGGATGTGTCTGTGGATGTTCATAACTTGGATTCTAAGGAAAATGTTTTTCATATGGACATTGATTTGCTTTCAACTTCCTGCTCCCATGTAAATTTCAAAGTTTTTTGATAATGAAACCTACAAACTGTTCCATTCGAGAAGGCCTATTCTATTGCAAAGAAGAGTGAGAACATTGAAAGAAAAAGCAAAAAGGAGAATGACAATCTTGATGAGGTACTAAAAAAAAATTTTGAAGGTAAAAACTACAAGTTCAAATTTTTTAGCTCAAGAGCTACATCATAACATTGTCTTTTCAGATATGCCTTTGGAGCTTGTTGTCCAGAAAGGAAAAAATGAAGATGTACATTGTACTTTCATCCACTTTTTATTCACTTTTCACTCACTTTCTAATAGTGAAATGTTTATGGAAAAATAGGTACTCTCAAAAATTAGGCTTAAAATAGACCTTAGGTACTCGATACCATACAAGAACCTCTTTTCAATTTTTTTCCATCGTTTTACTATTCCTTCTGATAGTGTTGAGACATTGAGCTCCGCTCACCCTGTACAATATATTCTGACATTTGAATGGGAATATATAATTTAAATTTTGTATTCATTTGGCTTCCTAATCCTGTAAGAACAAAAATGGAATTTCACTTTCGAGTCAATAAGAAAATCAATAATTATTTTCAAATAATAATTGATTGCAGCATTATCCCTTTTTCGTATACTCTTAAATAAAAGCAAAAAACAAGAAAATATATCAAATAATGCGAGCGCTTCCCATTAGCTAACATAAGATAGAAAGAGATAGGTATCCGTATTTTTGCCTCACTCGTCGTTCACAGAGGATCCCTTCCAGGTGTTTATATTGAGTTCATTCAATTCAACACTAATTAATACGCGCTAGATTCAACTTAACTGAATAATAATTGATAACTTGATTGATAAAATATGTATCCATACATACCATACCCACATGACTAACTTAATTACTATGATAGTGGGCATAATCAGCAACAAGGTGAGTCATTAGTTGCGAAATAACATTAATACGTTAAAATGTAGATACGGACCGGGTCGCGACCATAGACAGATAAAAAAAGGGGAGACATAAAATTTCATTCATAAAACATTTGTTTACCATCATATATGCTTTCAAATTTTCAAATGAGTCAGAAAGAGATGGCTTTAATAATTGGCAACGCTGTAAATTGTGTTCAATGTTCACTCTTTTCTTCACCAGTCGCGTAGGTTAATATTATGGCATCGATGAGTACTATGTGTAGTATCCCTTTATACACTATAAGGAACTCACAATGTTATTGGTATATTTCACTTCGTAATAAAACACTTGTATGCAATTAACTTCACTCGGTCGTCACCCTATCGCTGTCTAACGCTTACTGTCCTATCGTCCCCGTTACTCAGCGCTCAGGTGATTTCCGTTGATAGTCGTTTATTGTGTAATCAAGGGTGATACATCAACTCATACACTACATCCTTCCCTTATTAACAAGATTTTGAATTGATATATTGAACGAACTTAACAAATTAAAATCAAAAATATATAATTTATCATTACAACAGATGAGCAGGATACCATATATGTATATAAATGTATATGATACAATAACTGGTTATTCGTACATAGCTCAGAACATATATAATATACAGAGTGTCCTAAATATATATATAGCATAATACAATACCCATTATAATACCTTATATTTTCTTTTTTTGTATGCATAAAAATCTATGGATCATTCAACATTAGAATCAACTGATTTTTCTTTATTTATCACCTTCCATTCCCCTTCCATTTTTTTCAAATGGACGACGTTTCTACGGTACTGTTTACCCGTTTCGTCATTTTGAATTTGGGTATCGCTACCGTTTTTTTCTAGCACTGTATGTGGGGTGGGGTTGAACGTGGAGCTCAATTTATGTTCTTTTGTTGCATTTTTCACATAAACCTTATCTCCTAACTCAATGCTATCTTCTATTGCTTTCCTCTTTTTGT